TTGTTCCATGATTTTTTTTCCCCTCTGAGCTAATTTTTTTTTTCTTTTGTCTGAATTGCCAACAAGACAACAGACATGACACCCGCGATAATAATTTGGGAAATTAAACAGAAACCAAACGAGTTTTCATTGAAATTTTTTATATGGACACACACACTCAGATATATATATATATATATATATATATATATATATATATATATATATATATATATACAACAGACATGACACCCGCGATAATAATTTGAGAAATTAAACAGAAACCAAACGAGTTTTCATTGAAAATTTTTATATGGACACACACACTCAGATATATATATATATATATATATATATATATATATATAGCCAGTTGAAATGTCTGTTCTTCATCGTTTTGTTTGGTTTAAATTAAGAATCTTCCCATCGATCAAATTTCCCATCGTTTCTTTTTTTTTTTTTTTTAAACTTAATTGTTTTTATGAAAGCAACAACATGTGGTAGGTGTTTTAATATTTTTATGCACGAAATTATTACTACTTTTATTAGAATCACGAAATATCTTTGTTACAACAATTTGAAATTTTTTTTAGATTTTAATAACGTAATAAGCTTAATTTTGAATTGAAATTTACAAGTTTACAAATCTTACGTGGTATGAAATTTACAAGGTTTCATCACATATTATCTTTGAAAACTCCCATTATGTTTACAAATTTTTGAATAAAACTCAGTAACATAAAAAGCCCTTATACCATAAAAAATCCAATCATATTCCTTGCATATTTAAATTGTGTTTTTGAGTGCAAATTTGCCTACAATATTAATTGTTTACCTAAAGACTATTTATATTAGGGACGAGGTATGGGGCATGTGGCACGAAGGACTGGAGGACGTGACTACGGAGTACGGACCACATTGTGGGGGTTCGGATCCCTCGACCGACCCAAAGAGGAAAAAAATTGGAGTTGGAAAATTAGGAGATTGTGATTTTTAAAAAAAATTTATTAGTAAAGGTTAAAAAAAAAAAATAGTATTTGAGATAATTTTATATTTTTCTCTTATTCTTGCATATAAGCAAAACTAAGAAAATAATTTTTTAATTTCCTTATGTTATTTAAATAAATTTTTATATTTATTGTACTCAAAAAATTTTTATTTTTAATTTGTATTAAAAATATACTTTTATTTTGAATAAAATATTAATTTATGTTAATAGCTTATATAAGTATAAATAAAAAGATAAAAATTTATTTGAATACAAATTTAAATAAAAATTAAGAATTTATTTTAATATAAAATAATACAACGACTTATCTAAATAAAAAATATATTTCAAAAACTCTTTTAGCATTTTAACCTAATGTAACCTTTTTTTTTTAAAATAATTAACCTAACCTAATGTAACCTAAGCTTGCATCAAGGATGCAATTGCTGTTGTATTTATTATCGTTTACTTTTTTTTTTAATATTTTTTTATCACATATTTTCCGTTATCGTTTTTGCTTATCTTATTTATTAAAGGCACCTAAATATTAGTAAAGCAATCAATAAACCCTAAACCCACTTACTAATAGTTAAAAGAAATTCACAAAACATTGTAAACTCATGAAAAATAATAATAAATCTCATATTTTCCTTCAAAGGAGACGAATAATAATAATAATAATAAAAAACTAAACCCCGCTTTCCTTTTACATATAGTTAGTTAACAATTTTCACCAGCCAATTCACATTCTGACCTATAAGCCATTGATGTTTTGCTCTTTGGACAGTTTTTCATCGTTGCCATTGTTGTCCATATATTTGACATGGATTCTTCCCCTTTCATGACAATGGCAAAATAGTTTTTCCATTTTTTATTTAAGCATAGGGGAGTACTGGTAAAAAATGCGAATTGGCTAATGACTATGGTTGATAATAGTTTGGTTTGATTTGGTTTAAATTTTGTTTATTTTGATTAATTTATATTATTATAGATTAAAAAATCGATTTGAATTTAAATTAAATTTATTTTAAAGTCAATTCAATTTGAATCAAATGATATTGATTCAATTTGATTCATTGGATTTTAAAATATTTTAATATTATTTTAAAAATTAATTTATTATATTTAAATGAATTTAAATAAAAAAATTATTTTGTTTTATAAAAAATTAATATATATATAAATTAATAAAACTATATAATTTGGTTGAATTCAAATATTTTTCATTTTTTTTACATTTCAATCTAAATTTAATTTAACATTTAATATCTAAATTTAAATAAAATTGAATAAAAAATAAATTGATCGAAATTAAACACTATACTTTTAAATTAATTTTTAATTTTATCCTTTTTTTTTTCTCCTGCTACTAATGGCTATAAGGAATCTTGAAGAAACAACTATAGTCGTTGGGTCCAAATTTAATGGTATTAAAAAAATTGAAAAATCGGCAGGTGATAATATTTTAATACTCTTACCATTATTTTGGCTTTTATAAGTTTTATTATATAATTCGACAGGTGGCAGATACACCAAGAGTAAATTACATTTTTTTTATCTATACTTTGAGAAAATGTATAAATTAATAATTAAAGAAATAAAAAAATTATAATTTACATCATAAACTTTTAAATAATATATACTTTACATTATAAATTTTTAAATCATATACCATATTAATTCAAACTTTAATTTCATTAATCATATAATATTATATACGGTACATTTGACAAATACTATCTTGTTATATATTTACTATAATACTATGAACATCTTTTTTTTAATATAAATTAAAAACATATTTCTTTAATTTTCTTGAATCTCTAAGATCCATCAATAATTTTTTATTACATGATATTCATATGAAAGTTTTTACTAAATATTTAATAAATAATATAAATTATAACAAAATTATTATAATTATATATCATATAAACAAATTAAATTAATAATATTAAAATTTGATAAAAATAATATATTATTTAAAAATTCATAATATGAATTGTAAATTTTATTTCTTTAAATATTAATTTATATATTTTCTCAAACTTTAACTATAAAAAATATAATGAAAAAATGCGTCTTCTATTCCCATATATATGTGGTTGGAGTCCGATCGACTTTGAACAAAGTATTTTTAAAGGTTTATTTAGTCAAAATTTGAGATTAATTTGATAAAATTAAAAATAACGATAATCTGAGTGGGAAATCAACAAATCATAATCTGTATGGTCCTACCACGTGTTGTTCGAATAACATGACCAAATTACCCCCAACATGTCCTTTCTATTCCACCGATACGAATTGTTTATCACGTGCTTTATTATACTGTACACAAAAGAAAGTCAAGGAAGCGAATACATAGAAGAAACGTGAAGTAACCGTTTTTGCTTTTTTGAAAAAAAAAAAATGACGAGCGTGGGCCCACGTGGCTGTCTCCCACTGTCGGCATATAGCTGCACCTAACTAACGCCGTCAAAAAGCGCCAAATTCCGTCTGTGTTCTGAAAGTCACTAGTATATCACCCCTATTTCCCTATTTGCATTTAATTACCAAAGTACCCTTCTAGTATAAAAATATATTTTTCCAAAATGATCAAATTAATAAAACTATATATATATATATATCATTTAAGATATATTTAAAAAAGTAAAAAATTAATTAAAAAATAAATGATGCCTGTATCACCATATTAATTTTGCTTATAAAATTTATTTCCAAAAAATTATTTTTAAAATTAAAAAAATTTCATTAATAGTATATCATATAATTTATTTATATTTTTTGATATAAATATAAATGTAAAATATTGATAAAAATATTATATATTGAAAAAAAATAAAACATAAAAATTTAAATCTCTTGACTCTTTTGAATTAAAAGTTTCATGTTCATGTTAATGAATAAAGAAATTTTTATTTTATTTTTCACATTTAATAATAAATTTTTTTCATAAATTTCGTATGATCCATTTTGAGTTGTGGAACTATTTTTTTTTATTTATTTTTTTCATCTCTTAAATCTACTAAAATTAATGATTAAAAAATATAAAATTAAAAAATCTTACATTAATATAATTTGATCTTATCTCTTTTATAAATTCTAAACTATGTTTGAGATTTATTTAAAATTTTTATCAATTTATTGTAGTTTTCATTATTTTCAATTTTAAGATAAAAAATATGAAGTTTATCCGAACTCTACCTAAATTTTGTCTCCCTTCATCACTTTCCTTAATTTGTTGAACCTAGAAGCTATAAGATAATTTAGATTGCCATTATAATTCTTCGTCAGTTTGCTTTACAAGTCAAAGATCATTTATTTTTTCTTTCCTTATGTTCAACATTTTCACCAAACACATTGCAAATTTTCTCCATGATTAAACCAAAACATTTCATTTTGACGTAATTTAATTTTTGAATAAAAGATATTGTATTAATTAATAACTCAAATTTATTAGATATTATCTTATAAAACAAATAATTAAATTAAAATGTAATATGATTATATATTAGGACCATAATCATTTTTCTCCTCTTTCTCATCCATTAAACCCACAAGATAATTTTCAACCTACCATTTAAAACCTAGTTATGTTTAACTAAAATTTAATGCACAATTGGAAAACCTAATATATGACAAGTCAGCTAAACGTGGTTACATTAAATTAATCATATTTAATATTTTTGCTTCTTAGCTTGAAAAATGTGAGCAAAATCTTAGAACCCAAAACCATGGATTTGTACCACTGAATTTTCTGCGTTTGCCCTTTCCTTGTCTATGAATTTGAAGAATTGTTCAGAAAAGACTTGGTCCACAGGCAAAGGGCAACCATGGAAAAAAGTGAGTTAGGCAATTGCAAGGAAAGCTCCCCCGTCCAACTTGACTGATGACTCTGCCCTATTCTAGTATTATCTTCAACGTTGTTATACCAATAATATTTTCTCTTTCCTTAACTCTTTCCTTCATGCAAAAAAAAAAAAAAAAACGTGCTTTAAATAAAATAAATAATTATTTTAAAAAATTACAAGATAAAGAAACCAGGACAGCTCATAGTTAATCAGGTTCGAAGAACATGTGGTATTTGGAGAAACCTGCTTCCCCCCTTATATTCCTTCATGTCATACTCTTTTAGCAGTAATCTCTGAAAGGGGCAAAACACTTGGATAAGACCCTGAAACTTGATGTTTTACTAGATTTTATCTTTAACAATAGTTTCATTCAGCTTTTGTTAGAAACTTGAGAGTTTTCAGACAACAAGAAAAAAAAAAAGGAAGCCATGTCCAATTCAGGCCAAAAGTCCGGTAAGGCTACTGAGAGAGCAAATTTTGTCAATCTTCTTAGCCAGTACTTGAAAGAAAAAATAAATCTTGGAGATATCAGCGTTGGGATGACTTCAAAACGTGAAACCAAAGGTACCCTTTTGTTTTCTGTCTAAGCTTCTGTTTGTTGTTGAAGAAAGGGTTGTAATAAAATTCTGAGCTTTTGTTTGGGTTTACGTGGGGGGTGTTGGATATGAAGATTTATGGTTGGTTGATGTTTCAAAGATTCTTCTTTTCCCTGTGGAAAGAAAAGTTATTGGATTGGGGAAGAAGGATGTTTAATGTTCTTTGTTTGGTGATGTTGCAGGGGTTGAAACATCTAGGCAACAAGCAATGACAATGAACTTTTTGCCCCATATGGATAATTCCTCTGAGAGTTCAAGACCAAATCTTGTGGCATCTACATCAAATGTGAAATCTTCTGATTTCTTCCCAGAGATTGGCAGTTTTGGTGCCTCCAGTTCCAAGGAAGATGCCACTAACAAAACAGATTTCAGGTGTGTGTTTTGTTTTCATTAATTTCACAAGATATTTAGATGTCCCGATCTTTTACAACCCCAACCTTTAAAAAGAATGCCTTAAAAAAGTTTCACCATGTTTCACAGTTTTTACTTAATTTGGAAGCAGTATGTGTTTAATAGTTAGGGTGACTTCAAGTATGTTTTAGTTGAGGAATTGTTACAAGTTTAATGCCTTCCTGTTTAAAAATTAAAACAAAAATGGTAATGAGAAACTACTGAAATACTCATACTATGGACAGAAAATTGTTAAAAGTTTTTGTTTGTTACTTTAGGAAACCAGCAATAGCGGAGCCAAAGAATGCCCATCTGACCATATTTTTTGGCGGACAAGTGCTGGTATATAATGACTTTCCAGCTGACAAGGTCAAGGAGATCGTGGCCTTGGCTAACCAAGGATGCTCAAATGCAGGTAGTGGTGTTGTTTCTGAATCTGGCATGGAAAAAGTATATTCCAACATAGACAAAATTGATTCTACCTGTTCTGACATTCCTGACCTGAACATCGCCTCGATGACTGCAAATAGTCCTGCTCAAGATTCTTCTGTTGAGCGGCATCAATATGGTGGTTCAGGTAATTGATATGTGGCCTTGAATCAAATCGAGGAAGTTGCAATTAAAAATTTTTAATGGTTTTAATTGTCAACCAGCAATTCTAATTTGTTGGCATATCTTTGCTCTCTGCAGATTTACGAATTGCGAGAAGAAATTCACTTCACAAGTTCTTTGAGAAGAGAAAAGACAGGTTAGAGTTTTCCCAGCACTAGAAAACTTTTGGATCCTAGGAAATCATGATTGGATTCTGCAGAACTATGGATCTCATATCTTATGACAAATGAAACAAAACTGGTGCCTTGCATTGCAAACTTTTTCCTTTACTAGAAAACTAGAGAGAACATTTTTCAATTGATCCGTGAAACACCTGATATAGGCATTCAAATATTCGAATAATTATCTGCATAGTCTGGCCTTAAAGGTGGCACTTGGAATACCAGATTAAAGATCTAATTTCAGATATAATCTTGATAGTCCTGACTTCATTAAATGATCACTAAATTGATCCGTGGCTTAATTTTCAGGGCAGCCGCAAGGGCTCCATACCAAGTTAACAACCTACGAGGATCTCCTCCTCCACCTAAACCTGATGAAAGCAAGTCATGTCATGAGGAAGGTCAATCATCAAAAGAAGCATCAAGAGATCTTGATCTCAAGTTATAGTAAATATTGTCAGTTCATCGTGTTGTAACTTGGGATACCTTAGTGATCAGGCATAATGATCTTAATTCTTAACTATTGTTGTTAGGCATTTTACACTTCTACCAATACATTTTTTTGCAACTAATCTGTTACAATTAAATTGAGATCTGATTTATTTTTTGTCTATAAGTTTAGTCCATTGATAGTTAAAACCCCAAAAACTGCTTTTCTATCTTGTTCTTGATGAAACTTTGTTGTTAATTAGTTATGGCAAGTAGGGAAGCAGCCAGATGACGCCTTCATTCAATGGTTTAAAAGTGATGAATAAGGAGAAGGGTTGAGTGTTGAACTTGTATTATCAGAAGAGCAAAAGCATCTGTCATGATTTAGTAGGAAAAAATGGGAAGGAGAATTAAGTTATGGTTCCTACAGTGCAGAACATTCGTAGTCAAAAAAGTACTCCTAAGCAACAGCAAGGCCAAGCCAATGTGTCAGATACCCAAACTTAATTGAACGGGCCAAGCAAACAGTGTTGGATTCCATATTTTGACCTGTAGTTTTGCCAATAGTGTTAAATTTACGACGACTGTGGGTAATCTTGGTGACTTTAGACTATCAGCTCCTCCTGTATGAAGCAAGAAAATATGATTTTGACCTGCCATGAGAGGAATGTGAGTGTGAATGAGAATTAAACTATGGTTCCTACAGTGCAGAACATTCATAGTCAAAAAAGTACTCCTAAGCAACAGCAAGACCCAAGCCAATGTGTCAAATAACCAAATCTGAATTGAACAGGTCAAGCAAACACTGTTGGATTCCATAACTAGACCTATCGTTTTGGTGACAACTTTAAGTTTACCATGACTGGGTAATCTTGGTAACTTTAGACCATCAGCTCCTCCTGTGTGAAGCAAGAAAATATAATTTTGACCTTCCATTAGAGGAAAGGGAGTTTGAATGTGATAGGGACTAGACAATCTGTTTTGTTTGATTCCTTTAATACTTGTTTCTGCCTAGGTGACAAAACCATTAAACCTGAGATATTCAAATTCAAAGCCCGAAAATTTCTGAAAAATCTTCAAACCCTCTCTCTGTCTCAGTGTTCCCCACAGCACAACCGACTAAGCCACTTAGCCAAAGACTAGCAAAGGCAAATACTTAAGCCAGAAAATAGACGATGGGTTGCCCAAGCCTAAGCTTGTTCATCGGGGGGGGTAGGTGAAGGCTCACAATTTACACACTCAAGCTTTTTCAAATTCAGAAATGGCTTCACAAGAATCACAACATAGTTTTTTCGGCTACAATGCCATCCTATGAAGAGAAAATATAGAGTTTCCAATCCAATGTGACATAAATGAGAAAAGCTTTACCATATTAGGATTAACAGCTTTTCTCTTTCAAAAGAAAAAAAAAAGATGTGCACCATGAATTAGTGTTGGGGAACATCAGCCGCAGTAGCAGAAATCGTTTGTTCAACGTCGCTTTGAAAGCTTTGTTTCTTTGCCTCTATGGCAGTAATACTAACAACCAATTCGCCAGCTCCAAAGTACAAATACATCATTATAAAAACAATAATCTCATATGTATCTGATGGGAACACTGCAGTAAATACCAGAACAGAGAGCAGGAAAGAATTGTACGACTACATTAATTCTGAAATACAAACTGCAACCAAGTACGGACATTGCATGTTTCCTTGCTAATAGAAGTATGGTCAAAGACAAAGGGAGCCGTGCCATATTCTACTATCCCCGAGCCCCAAACTATGACCGAATAAATTCTCTATCTCTGGTAGGCCGAGTAGTCCTTCACCTTCATGGAAATCCCATTTCATATTTGTAATAAAGAAATCCATGATCAATGGTAGATTGTTCAATCTCTGTTTCATGGCCTTTGTAATAAGAAATCTTGCATGGTACTTAAAGTTTTCAACCAATCTGCCTGTGTTTAATCTGGATACCAGATGTAAGAAGGGGACCAGTTGATGCATGACATTGCGATTTCCATGGTCCAAAATTAAATTTCCATATCGACTGTTTGTAAAGCGAAAGATTTTGATATACCAGAATCTAGAAACCAAAGATCATGTGATGGAGTTAAACTCGCATGTCCATTTCAAAGATACCTTTCGACTTCTGCCTGTGTAGTCACATACTACCCAAGTTTGATACTGATACCTGGGCTTGAGTTCAGACAACCTTTTTTTTTTTTTCTTTTTCACAAGTTTGTCCATCAAAATGCTACTTCCTAAGCATGTGGAGCTAAAACGTCGGTGGATTTCAATACATGGGGATAGATTTTGGTAATTTACCACTAAAACTCTGACATGTCAACAACAGTTTTAATCTTTGACTTGAAAACACCAGAAAACTTGGTAGAAAATTTATTACACAGGAGTTTAAAGAAACAGAGACAAAATTTACAAGGCACATAGCTTTGCAGGGAAACTAAAAATGAGTGCTAACCGAACACTAACTACACTGGGGAGTCTAGGTTCATGCACTTAGGCTTTGACTAAGTGTGCTTGAAAACAAGGCAGGTTCAACCAGAGGTCTTCTTTCTATCAGATCAGGGCCCAAAAATTGATGGATTAAAAACAAAGCAGGAAAATATTGCAGGATTAACCATACTACTATGTTTCAAACCATCATTTTTTTTTTTAAAACGAGGACTTAAGCTAAATGATTTAACATTTGTCGCAAGACAGAAATTCGATCTCAATACTTGTAAATTTCTCTTTCTCGGTTATTTTTTCCTATACTTTGGCTTCTTTTATAAATTTTTGTTTTGAACCATGCCTTAGACCACCTGGGTATTCTAGCGGGCATGACAAAAATGTTTTGTTAGACCATTATAGCATGATTAATTAATCGTATCAAGAACCCTAATCCCAAATTTCCAAACATTGTTCTATTTTCATTTACATATACTATATATTTTTGGGGGTGGGGGCTAGGTCTGAATTACAGAGCAATTTGTTTAAATCAATTTTAACTGTTAATAATCTGGGTTTGGTGAGTTGCATAATGCAAGTTAGTTTCAATTTTAAATGGACCAATTTGTATATTACACAAAAAGAAAAAAATTCTTCTATCATAATTGAGTTTATATGAATTTGATATTAACAAGCATTTTTGTGAATTCAATATTTAGTTCAATTAATTTGTATAATAAATTTTAAAAAATAACATCTAATAAATTTAAAATTTAAAATTTAATATTTACAACCTATTTATGCAAAAAATTAATTTTGAGCCCCAACTAATCCAACTATAGATCTATAGACTCGGCCCGTTTTGTTAAACAAGCCCATTATCTGCCCTGTAAGCTGGCCCATTTGGCTGACAGCTTTTGTACTTTTGAAAGCTTGTCTACTTTTACTTCCCTTTTGGACATGGATTTCGTTGAACGTAACATAACCAGTAGTAAAGTCACCTCTTTTGACACGTGGCATTACCCCATTTGTCATTTACAAGCACAAATAACATTCAGCCGTTACTTTATCTTTTTCCTTCCTTCAATAATATCCTGCTATAAATACTTTTTGGAGCCACTCATTTTTGTTCCTCTCTCTCAGAGGCCTGCTTTCCTCTTCCACTTTTATTTTTTTTCTGTCACTTTCTCGAGGCCCCTCTTTTTTCGAACCCTAGCAAAGGAGGAAAAGAAGAAAAGAAAGGGTAATTTTCTCGGAAACCAAACACCGGATTGATTTTCCCTAGAAAATTGCCGAGAAAAAGATGCAGCACCAGAGGCTGAAGCAACAGCAACAAGCCTTGATGCAACAAGCTCTCCTTCAACAACAGTCTCTCTATCACCCAGGCATCTTAGCTCCTCCCCAGGTTTTCCACTCTTTTGTCTCGCTTGTCTCTTTAAATTTTCGTCAAATTTTCTTTTCGTCGATCATCTACGAGTTTTTGATCCGGTTTTTAGGAATGATTTGCTGGATCTTCGAAATCGTGTTTTGATCTTGGAGCTCGTGTGTGGTTTCTTGTTTGTGATTGATTGGTAGAGCTAGGGTTAGTTTGGGAATTTTTATGCGGTGATGATTTAGCTTTTGAAAGTTAGCTTTTTCAATGAATTTGGATGAATTCGGTGGACTTTGTTTCTATTTTGTTGTTTCTAGGCTTTGAATGCTATTTTTTTTTTTGTTTCTTCCGGCGTTATTGTTCGTGAAGAGAAATTTTTTCATTTGGTTTTCAGAAATGAGAAGGTCTATGACTTTACGATGTTTTTGGTGTAAAGTTAAGCTTATTGTTTTGGGTTTGAAATTTGATGAGAGATTGTTTTGTTTCTTAATATTTTACATTTTCATTGCTTGGAGTTCCAGTTTTGTTATTTCTCTTATATGGAGTTGCAATTGGCAAGCAAGTAGGTTTGCTTTTGGTGTTTTCTTTTTCATTTACTTGTGTTTCTCACTACTTTGGTTTTATTTAGTTTACTACTTATCAATGCCTTGTTGTTTTACAAATGTTGAGAAATGATTTAATGCGTTGAGGTAATGTTTAGTTGTCATCTCTCTCGTACACTCTCACAATTAATCAATCTGTCTATTTGTATATGTTTATATGTAGCTATCTGCATTTCTTTTTTTTTTTGTTGTTGCAAATATTGGGTAAAAATGTGCAATTTATCTCTCTCCCCCGCTTGTTTGAAGTGTTGGAGTGTAAAACATGGTTCCTGAATTTCATTTAGGGACTTTAGGGTTATAGTGCTGGAACATAACAGCGTGGAGCAAATTTATGAAGTATATCGTACTTTCAATGTATTTTGCATCTTTCGAAGTTACATTTCCGGCTGACTTTTTTTGTTTGAATTGTGTAAAAAGATATAGATCTTTTTTTTTTTTTCAATTTGGAGGGAGTTCAAAGGAATTTTGAGTTGCAATATCCTTGAATTTACTCTAACCTACGAACTACAGTTCTGCTGAAAGTATGTCTTTTCTAGGTGAGGTGGAATATTTTGTTTTGGTCTGGTTGTCACTGAAAAGTCAGGGGAAAAAAGAGATCATGCTAAAAACAATAAAATATATTGTCTTTTTGTCTATAAGTTGACAGTGTTTTCAAAGAGGTTGGAGAAGTGATGCTCTCATTTCTGATGGTTGTAATTAGCATTTTGTTTTTTTTTTTTTTTAGGTTGAGTGTTGGATACCTTCTAAAACTCATCGTCCTTCCAGGATTTGAACACTTTAGAATTGGATTGAGTGGGAAGGGACTTTTTTTACATCATTTCTTATTTCCCCCCTTTTTTTTATTTCTTTTAGTTTTTCACTTTTTTATTTTGCAGATAGAGCCCATCCCAAGTGGAAATCTGCCTCCTGGTTTTGATCCAAGTACTTGCCGCAGTGTGTGAGTGTTTGCCTAGATTTTTTTTACATTTTTTCTTTTTCCTTTTTGTTTCTTTTGTATTTTGTGCGTCTTTTATTTCCCCTTCATGCTTAAACAACTACCCTAGTCGCTTTTATGCTTATGAAATAATACATTGGAGACACTTTCCTTCATGAATCTGGTGATTGAAAATGTTGCTACTGCCCTTAGTGTAAAATTTTAAGCTAATGGCTCTGATAGTTGATATTTAAATGGTTTTGGGAATGTGATAGATACTTGTATGTACTTGCATCTTTCTAAGAACTCAGATAGTTACTTACATAGCCTTTTATTTATTTATTTATTCTTTATTCTTTTTAATTTTTGTGAAACTGCAGGTATGTAGGAAACATCCATTCACAAGTGACTGAACCACTACTCCAAGAGGTTTTTGCAAGTACTGGTCCCGTTGAAGGTTGCAAGCTTGTCAGAAAGGAAAAGGTGTTATTTTCAATATTGAATCCCTTTTTTTTTTAATATAAAACTGTGAGGATGCTCTAATTGTGCAATGGTTAACTTTTTTCACTTAGTTTTTCTCGCTTTAACTTTTTTCACTTAGTTGTTCTCCATTTCCTTTTGCCTATTGATTGCCATATGGTTGAGATGTCTTTTGTTTCTCACTCTACTTAAGCAGTCATCATATGGATTCATCCACTACTTCGATCGCAGATCAGCTGCTCTTGCTATATTGTCTCTAAATGGGAGGCATTTGTAAGTATTAACTTTTAATTTTTTCCTCTTACTTTCATTTTGAGTGTGCATTTGCATTATATCATGTAATCTGCAGATTTGGACAGCCTATCAAAGTCAATTGGGCATATGCTAGTGGTCAGAGAGAGGATACATCAGGTTTGCTCACGTTTTTGTTTGCAAAATTTTGCTCTAATATATCTATGATGTGCTGGCAATTAATTTTTAATTATACTGTTTGATAGTATCATAATTGGTGCAGGTCACTTTAACATTTTTGTTGGGGATCTCAGTCCTGAGGTTACTGATGCAATGCTATTTGCATGCTTTTCTGTCTATCCCAGTTGTTCGTAAGCATCTTCTCTTTTTTTTTTTTTTTTTTGTTGATTTCAGTAAATGCATGTGTTGACAGTATTGTAACTTAATTGAAGTATCTGCCTTAACTATCAGGATTTTTAATTTATTAGTTAGTATACCTTGATGTAAACCTTGATTAATGTTTTTGTATTGCTGACAGTAGTGATCTATTGGTGTCACAATGAATAACAAATCTGATGTATTTACTGATTTCAGGGATGCAAGGGTTATGTGGGATCAGAAAACTGGGCGTTCAAGAGGATTTGGGTTTGTCTCATTCCGCAGCCAGCAGGTACTGCTCCTTAGTTAAGTTTCTGGTGGCTCTTTGTGTTTTTCTTCCATTATAATGTTGTTTCATTTATTGATGTTGACTTTTTTTTCTGTGTCCAGGATGCACAAAGTGCAATTAATGACTTAAGTGGTAAGATTGATGTTTGTTACTCTATACTGCACTTTGTTATCTTCATTAGTTGCAGATTTAGCTCATCAAATGAAGCTGTGATTTTTAGCTTCAAAACTTTTATTTCATATCTTTCATGCTTTGGAGTGAACTTAATAGGTTGCTGAAATAGTAATCTAAAATGTTTTTTTTCCCTTTCTTTTTTCCCTGTTATTCTTTCATGAAATTTTCTCTAAAATCACCATGTGTAGATTATTGATTCATTAAATTCTTGTTGCTGAGCTGGAAGAATTGTATTTATTTCTAATATTTTAAATGAATTATCACTTGCATGAATTGCTGTTATTTGATATTGCAGTAAAAATTCAAATATGCTTTTGATTTATTTTTGTAGGAAAGTGGCTTGGCAGTCGGCAGATCCGTTGTAACTGGGCAACAAAGGGTGCTTGTAGCAACGATGACAAGCAGAGCTCTGATGCCAAAAGTGTGGTGGAACTAACCAATGGCTCATCAGGTGCGCATGTTGCTGCAACAATCATTATCTTTTCTTCAAATATCAAACATTCATAATAATTATTACTTTCTTCAATGCAAACCTCATAACTAAATAATATTTAATTATTTTTATTTAACCTTTTATGGATCTTTAAATTTGTGCCAAATGGGAAATAAACTTACATCTATTACCTTGGCATGCAGAGGATGGTAAAGAGACAACCAATACTGAGGCTCCTGAGAATAATCCTCAATATACTACTGTTTACGTGGGGAATCTTGCTCCAGAGGCAAGTAACTATCTCCAACAGCTTGTCTATTTATTATTTTGCACGTGCAAGTTAATATTGAAATAAGTGTACAAAGCATTATGAGCTTATTTACATAGGACAAGTGAAATGGGCGGCATTTCTTTATCACTTCTACAAAATCTCATATTTCTAGATGCATGTAGAACACTCAAAATTTACAAAACTTCGGTCATTTATTTCTTTAAGACCCAGCTTGAGTAAAAAGAATAATTAGTCTTTTACCTGTCAATTCAAGCTTCTCAACATTGATGGTATGAGCTTGAACCAGCTGTCCAGTATTTGCACCCTGAGAATTCCCCACTTCTAATAAAGTTTTGCGTGCATGTGAGAGTTGGCCTTGTGTTTTGAAAGCTCCAGTTTGTACTGTAAAAGTACCATGTTAGGTTCTCCAATAAAACCTATTATTTTTTGTTCCTGCAGGTCACCCAACTTGAACTTCACCGTCACTTCCATGCTCTTGGTGCTGGGGTGATTGAGGAGGTTCGGGTCCAGCGTGATAAAGGCTTTGGCTTTGTGAGATACAGTAGTCATACTGAGGCAGCTTTGTCTATTCAGATGGGGAACACTCAGTCATTTCTATGTGGCAAGCAAATTAAGGTTTGTTCTCTGCTTTTAGTCAAAATTTAACTTCCTCTTATATTGGAGAAATATAAATATGTAACATAATGTGTATTTTGAAGTCTTTGGAGGAGGATGCTATGGAAATTCTTTGCATAGGTTATTATCTTCATCAAATCATTGACCCTTAGGTATCCTACAATAAGCCATAGAATGAGTAGGATGATTGTTAGGAATGGTTGATGTTCTTTGGATTCAATCATTTTTGTTTAAAAATCTTGTAGTTGTAGTTGCAACTTTCATTTTTTAATCCCTTGGATAATTAGAAACTGACATATTTAATTGGTTTGTGTAGGGCTCTTTTGATTGTTGTGGATGGTTGATGTTCTTTAGATTCAATATTGCTTGTCTAAAAATCTTGTGGTTATAGTTCCAACTTTCATTTTCTAATTCCTTGTGCAATGAGAAATTGAAATCTTTAATTTGTTTGTATAGTGCTCTTGGGGCAGCAAACCTACACCACCAGGGACAAGTTCAAATCCACTTCCCCCACCTGCAGCTGCACCTTTACCTGGCCTTTCAGCTACTGACCTTTTAGCTTATGAGCGGCAACTTGCCATTAGCAAAATGGGTGGTGTTCATGCCCTAATGCATCCACAGGGACAGCATTCTCTCAAGCAGGCAGCAATGGGAGTGGGTGCTGCTGGAGCAAGCCAGGCTATATATGATGGTGGGTTCCAGAACGTTGCTGCTGCCCAGCAGCTAATGTACTATCAGTAATAAAAATAGAGTTTGTGTGGTAATATCATTATCCTTATTTCCTGCATTTGCAGGTTTTTTATTTGAGTTCTAAACGAAACATTTAGGAGGCATTTTAATGTATTTTTCCTTTTTCAGCAGTGAGCTTTTGCACCCTGCTTTTATCTATAGCATATGTTTGCCGATTGTATCAATCTTTATATGTTTCCAGATTTCATTTGAGTCCCTAAACGGCTAGGAAGCTTTTTAATGTATTTTCTTCTATGTATTTCAAATGTTTGATGTCCCAATGGATAACTAAAGCATATTTGCAGCTTTCTCGAGTTCTACTTCTACATATTCGGATAATTATTTTATTTTTTTCTTCTAATATTTGTTTGGGTATTTTTTAATTGATTAATGTGAAGAACCATTCCACGTGTGATGCTACAAATGCTCGCCTCTGTAGGCTAAAGAAACTTTGTTCAACTGATTGAGGTTGGAAATGCAAATATGGTGCAACCTTAAATGATGAAAAGATGACGGCAGTTGTAGCGCATGATCCAACCAAATAATCCTCGGAATAAATCACAATTTCAGTTTCTGCAACAAACATGGATACTGAAGGTTGGGGAAAATGGGAAGGGATAACCGGAAGAAACAGAAGTTGCAACATATGATCCAACCCACATCATTGTTAAATTTCCAATCTCAGTATCTGCAAGACTGAGACAAATAACTGCAATAATGAAGTAGAAGATATCCGCAAGCTGTCTGCAATATCTACAACTATTTATAATTACATTAAAGAAAGAACTATAAACCATCGGATACGCAGCTTCATCAGTCTGTTTCCAACCTAGCAATATATTTATCATAGAATTTCCCTGCTTTCTCAAGGTCTCCAAGTTCAGTGTAGCAATCCGCAATTGCTCCATAGGCTTCTGTGTTTCCAGACTCCTCTCCTTCTCGCTCAGAGATTGCTAAAACCATTGAGTGGTATTTAATGGCTTCTCGATATTTGCCTTGCCTTTGCAATGAAGCACCTAAATAAAGCAAACTTAAGTTAGAGGCTGTTATAATTTTTGCTAACTTTTACGGAACGAACTCCAGGTTTAAGGACCAAGTAATAAGAAACGAAAAATTTTAGGCTTCGATAAATTGGATAGCTCTCCCAGATTATAAAAAAAAAAAAAAAAAAAAAAAAGAACAACCACATAACAATCACATAAAGTTGTTACAAGTTTAAAAGCTTCACAGTTTCCCCCCTCTATGTTTTGGTGCTACTACTCTATTCATAAATGACTTGGGATTCTTCATGACCAAATATATGGTTCCCAATGGAAGCACTGCTTTGAGCATCTTAAAACTTTACGCACATAGATCCAAGGCAATGCCATAAGGTATCATAATCCTAATTCCTCCTTTTTACTTGGTTTGGCTTAAACCATGATAACCATATATTACAAAATCAGAGATGGAGACAAGATGGGTAAACAGAGATACATACCTAAACCCCTGGCAGCTTTCTTCTCCTCGATTGGATCTTTTAGACTCTTAGCAAGCTGCAGGGCTGTTTTAAACTCCAGAAAAGCCTTCTCAGGTTCTTGATTCCTTAAAAAATTCTTTCCACTCTTCAATCGGGAAATCAACTCTTCGTTTCTTGGATCAACAATTACTTCATTTTCTGACATTCTACCAACAACGGGAGCATAACTCAGGCTGGGAGCATATGACTCTATCTTAGCCTGCCTTCTTAGAGCAGCGTTGATCTGGCGCAGCTGCTCATTCAGTCGCTGCAATTCCCCTCTCCTCTGCCGTGCAAGCAATCCTGAGGTACAAGTTGTAGATTATCAGGGAAATAATAATTAGGGCAACAAGGTTTTTGGTGAAATTTTTGTGGATATCACATCATATCATTTTCTTAAGGTGAAAAATATAAAAAGAAAGGAGAGTGAACAACTAAATCTAACATAATGTAGAACAAGACATGGGAAGTTTATTTTCTTAAGTTATATAGACGGGTCAGTGGTCAGGATGAATTCCAGGGTTTAGAAGGGGAAATTGTAGTTTTAGATGTTGCCATCACTCAGTTACAAATTTGTATTTCAAACTGAAAACAGGTATGTATTTCTAGGCTTTTGTGAACTGAGACATATCTTCAACTGTGTAAGTAATGTATTTAGAATCTCTTCTACATGATATCTTAACGTGAATCTGAGTTTGGGTATTTTAGGTGTAACAATTTCTTCAAGCAAAGAAAAGATTGTTTGAGCAAGGAATATCAATTGCTGACTTGTGTATGTATGTCATTTGCAAATTACTCGGAGATGTATTATGGGCCAGAGCTAAAGATGACCAAGAAATACAAAGATACCTCCAACTGTGGCACCAATAAGGGCTACAAATAGCAGTAAAGGCATGTTGAAAAAGGAGTTATCAGCTTCACACGTTTCTGCCAGGGCTTTGAAAGGAGCAGTAAATATCAAAATGTTGGTGGCAAGAAATGCTGTCACTGGGACTCTTAACCGTAAGCCTCCCTGCCCCAGCATCAGCTTCAATCATTTAGAACAGTTTGATGAAAATGGAGAAAATTATGTTAATTTTCAAAGAGTAACGAGATACACAATAAAATGCCAAAATTCAAACAAAATTCAAGCAATTTAAAGGCATACGCCTCTTTCTTAATCTTCAAACATTAAACTTTAAGCATTCTACAAATCTTATCAGGTGTGGAGGTGGACATGTAGCTCACTAATCATATCCAAGTAAACACAAAATACAAATAGCTAACTAGCTTAGTTTTTGTAACCATGACTAGAAATAATAAAAGCATGAAAGCTGCCTATAGAGGACTCACCGTCATACCTCAAGAGCAGATAACTGTTGTAGAAGTTCATCATAAGGTGATGAAATACGATTCAAGACCCACTTTCTCTCCGATATTTGGCAATGGAGTAAGGACTGTTTACCCATTTCTTGCAACAGATGACGAATCTCAACCGGTCCATTAACATTTTTAAATGATTGTCCAAAGTTTCCTACTTTACATATAAACGATGCTATCTTCCCTGTTTTCAATCATCAAATTTAACTCCAAAATTAGTTACAATAATATTTTATTCCACCATTAATTCAATTCTACCAGTAAGCCAATTTACTCTTTATTTTAAACTTTTCCCATCAGTTATTTAATCATTATTCAAATACCCATTTCAAGACTTCACATTTATTTCCAATTTTGCATCAAAATTCAGTTTTTTCTTCGGGATGAAATTCAGGAAAAATTTCATATTTGTAAATTAAAAGAACCCCCAAGCTTACATTGCAGCCAAAACTAAAGAAAAGCAAATTACAAAGAAATAAAGTTTTTTTTTTCTTTTTTTTAACTAAAGGCAAAGAAAAGAAGAGTGAAAAAAATGGTAAGAGGAAGGGAGCACTGACCAGAAAAATGGGGCTGGGTGAAAGATGGTGAGAGAAGGGAGCATGGTGGGGTAACGAAGCAAGAGCGATGGATTATCACTGCCATTGCTTTGGATAAAACTTGGATACTCCAAACGCAGTGTCTTTTATAGTGTGAGAACTGGAAGACATATATGGCCTTGGAAGTTTACAAAAGTTACACTTATGCCATTCTTTGTTGTTTATCAGAAAAATTGATTTAAAATGGATTTGATTGTGATGCTTTATCCTTCACCGTATATAGCGAAATATGTTGGATTTTATAGGTTTTTTTACCTCTATTTTCTGTTTATTGCTGGAGCAAACAGACTATTAAACCAAATTCCAATGGACTAAGGGCTCAATAAGCTCAAATAAAGTGGCAGCCCTGTATGATTTTTTTTCTTGAAGAGTTCCCGATTTGAGATTAGGAAAAAAAAGAGATTATTAGAATTTAAACCAAAATCTTTTAAATGTCACTTTTTAAAAATGGTTAAATGAACCAACATAGGAGCTCCCGCAACCCTGTATATACTATTGACTGTAAGTTCAAAACTTTGTTCCAACAATCCTGGAATATCATTCTTCTAGAAAAACGGCTTAAAATTTGTTGTTCAACTATGGGAAGAAATCTGCTAGTGATTTCTCTCTTTAAGCACTGGTCAAGGTTTGACAAAGTACATGAATTCAGCACAGGAATTCAATATGGCGCTGTCTATTTTATAAAACAAGGGAAAAAAAAATGACAATTCAGGAATGGGAATTCTCTGGTCAAGAAGAAACAATAAGGGGAAAGATTATTTCTCCATTACAATATTTCCAGTCTTGAAAAAAAGCAAATTTAAATAGGCAATACCAAGAAAAAGAAAAAAGCACTTATGACAGCAAGCTAGCCTAATGCTGACAAACTACAACTCGATAGGCTATTTGGCGGTCAGCCTGGAAATTTCACGGGGTTGTAGGCTTTGGAAATGATCAGTTAAGCCCAAGTGTGCCATCAGAAGCCAAACATGGGTTAGAAGCTGTCCTCCTCGCCTCAGATGTTGTCTGTGCTGACTTCCTTCACAATGACTTGCAGCATGAGCAAGCATTTCCACCCAAGTATCAGCAATTAAGCTCCATTTCTGCCATAAAATAGTAATAATAAGTTCACTAATGAGATCTCAATCTTCAAGAGGGAGAGAGTTGGGAGTAATATTATTTACCTCTTCCTTGTTTGATATTTCATTCAAACTTCTTGCAAGGCTACTTCCATCCATTAACATAGATTTCCTTGCACTATACCTCCTTCCAAGAAATTCAACCCCCGTAGTAGCTTTAACCAACTTATCATACGTATCCCTTTTGTTTTTTGGTGGCTCTGGTGTATTGCAAAAATCAATGACTTCGGCACAAGTGTCTTCAATTAGAATATCACCAATCCCAGCCTGTAACATGGCAGGATAATTAACGAGCAGGTGCATCATATACCTTGACATGAGAATGCTCATATGGCGCTTTGATGGAATGGCCTCTCCAAGTTCCTCCGAGTAGTAGCAGATGTCTGTAGCAATGTGCCATATCAGAATTCTCTCATCAAATCCTTTCTCCACGCTCCACTTAAGTTCACTGTGACCATGAATGTCCACTCCAAATTTTTGTCTTCCTACATCTGAGGTATCATGAACTTTTGCTTTAATTTTAGCTCTCTCCTTGAGATGCTTGAATATCCATTCCTTTAAGGTGCTGGGTATCACCTCCTTAGTAACATATCTCTCCTTTTCTTGCTTTTCCGCAATGCCTAAGAACTTAAAGTGTTTTAGAATTCTATGGCAAAGGTGAGGTTTTACTTCACTTAAGATTGGATCGTAAATCATTGGTTTTTCTCTAAGCGCAAAGTCTAGTAGATTGAATTGAGCCATGGAGTTTGACCACCGAGGATTGTTAAATAGTTGGATAGAAGCAATGGCTTTCAAGATAGAAGTTTTTTTGTGCAAGCTCAACCAGACAAAGGTCCAGTCCGAGAAAAGAATGACCAGTGCCGCATATATGTCAAGTACAATAGCTAATACCAGCAATAGGAAGGTTATGACAAGGTCAGCCTTGTTATACTTGTGCTTATCATCAGCCAAAGAGAAAAGGACTAATACAATGCAGGTAAGTGATAAATTGATGCAGCGCAAGCCAAGGCCCCAACGAGAATAGACTACTGATGCTTTCGTGTAGAGCAAATCATACATGAATGCAAGCTCCATTTCAACTACTTTAAAAGCCTTTTCAAAGGACAGATTCTGAAATATAGCTAGGCTGCTGTCTCGATGCCGAGAGGTAAGTAGGAGGTTTACAAAAATACGCTTGAATATCTGAAGTAGACCATAAGCTTTAAGTAATTCATTGGTCTTGGAATTGGAATTGTCTTCAAAAGCAAAGGTCTCCATGGGCAGTTGAATATCAATTACTCTGTTTGGTATTAGGTTGCATCCCCCTTCTTTCTTCACATCGTACTCCTTGAGTAAATTTGGGTTACTAGAGCCTAGAAGATCACGACGAACAAGCGTGGAACCTTTAATCTGTTGGCTGCTTGCTGAACGGAGGACCCAGGTCCTTTCTACATACTTGCTGAGGCCTACAAATACCATTAAAGTGGACAGAATTGATAGATGAGAACCTCTCCATGCCATGAGGTAGGTGTAGAATGCAACTCCCGCTTTTAAAGCCAACCCAAGCAGGTGCCTCAACCACAACTCATTGTCTTCTAAGGCGTAAGCAGTGATGGTGTCAGGGCCACCCAAATGCAACAACAGAAATGGTGCCCAAAATACATGCAGTTCAATGTTGGCATCCGATTTACCATTATCACTAGTGTCTCCCAGGTCATTTGAGATAATGCCAAGGGCCATTGTTGCCACAGTATCTGAAGCTAAGTAAGCTACCCATACTGCAAACCTGACCAAAAGTTGGTAACTATATTTTCTGTGATTGCCCATGACAATGAGTATTGTCTGAAAAATGAGGCTAAGTAGAAGCAGTCCTCGTAGCTGCCAGTCCTTCCATAGATTTTCTAAGTTTTGAATGAGTGCCTCCATCATTTCCTCTTATTCTTTACAACAATCTGCTAAGAATTATATAATTATATTTAATAAACTTTAGATTGACCTAGAAATATAACATCAAAACGGAAAAGAAGGTGACTAAGGCTTTGATAGGTGGGTAGACTGAACTAACTATTGAAAGTAAGGCCATCTAGGTCTCATTATAAAGGTAGAAACATATAATGAAATGGGTATGAAATGCTACCATATCATCAGCTATACTGTTTCTGATTAAGTACTATTTTGTTCCACGAATAAAAGCAGACCATTGATCCAAAATAACAGAAACAAAGAAATGTTACAAGCAGCCCGAGTAATTACATTAGGACAAGTTCAATAAACAAACACAGAGAAACAAACAGGAAACAAGCAACAAGAATAGAAGAAGTCCCTTCTTGAAGATGGCTAAATATACATTCAAAAAGTTGGTTCAAGCCAAACAAAGACTATGATACAGTTACTGAAGTGCAATGAGAAGGGAATATGAAGAGAAGATTAAGTACCTGTGGTAATCACGGATGACACAGCTCTATGGTCTAATCACCAATGCTTATCCTCCTCACTTAAAGTCAAATTTCCAGAGGAAGAGAGAAAGAAAGAGAGAGAGGAAAAAAAAAAAAAGGAAAAGGTAATTATGGATCCAACTGCAATCCGCTTTAGTCCCAACTGCTTGGAAATTACTTGCATACTGCATAATGACCACATTTGCTTGGCTTTGACTTCATGTATAGATAAATTTGTGACCATACACTCTTTTCTACATTAACTGGATAAGAGAAAGGTATCCGAATGGGAACAAATTGTTGATACTGTAGTAAGGTTTAAGTTTAGGAACCTATTTATTACATATAAAAATCATAGAACCAACACAAATTTTTTTAAAGATTATTTTAAGTTTGATTAAATGTTAATATATATATATATTTTTTGATCTCTATCAACAAAATTAAATTTGAAAATGAATTATGTGCAAGTAAAGTTTTAACACTCTATTGTGCCTAATTTTAATAACAAATTAATAACAAGTTATTTTATTTAAGCCTTAATCAAAAATAAATTTTTATTAATTTTGTTATTTAAATTTTAAAAAAAAATTTTAAATTTTTTTTTTCATCTTAAGAATGTTCAAAATAAATTCGTTATTCATTTAAAGAGATTTCATCACCAAATTTATTATATATCTTATCAAATTCATATCTTCATCATTTTTATTTATTTATAAAATATTATTATATAAAAATTCTATCAAAATTATCATACAATAATATCAAAACATGCAAATAAAACATACAAATATCATAAAAAAAATATGCCAAAATATTATAAGAATCATATGGTGCAAAGATATCATGCAATGAATGTCATAAAAAACATAATGCAAAAATATTAAATAAATCATAATCATGCAAATAAATCCCATACAAAATATTATAAATTAAATTTATGCAAAATATCATACAAACATATATTATAATTTTTCATGCAAAAATATCATATAAATATCTTGCCAGTAAATATAAAAAGTCATAAAAAAATGCAAAAAATATTATCAAAATTTCTTTCTTCTCCTTTTTCTCATTATCATATAAAAAAACAAGGATAAAATATCAGAATTAAAAACAATAAAAAAAAAAAAAAGGAAAAAGTTAAAGATCGGGTCGGGTCAACTATCATGCGGGTCAGTTTAGATCTTCTTGGTGCAAAACGACACCGTTTCTTTTCAATCCCCAAAGTCATATTCTTTGCTTCATTTTCTCGTCCCTGCTTCTTTCTCTATATTTCAGATTCCTCTTCCTTCTCTCTTAAACCAGCCAAGAACCAAAGCAATCGGCAGCCTCTTCAGAACACCAAAGCGCTGGTGGTCCAATCCAGATTCCAGCAGCACGGCGCCACCTTGCGCCGCCGTAGCCTATGCCAGAAACTTACTCGTCCAGCAGCGCCTCCTTTCTCACTTTTCTATCTCTGTTTTAAAACCCAGAAACTCCAAAAAAATCAAATTAAAACCTTAAAAAAAATCCCTTTATTGTCAACTTCTTGCTTTTTTGCGATTTTTGTGTGGATTGCTGCTAACTGATTGTTATTGTGTTGCTTGCGTTTGCTTCTGTTTGTTGGAGTTTCTGATGTGGCTTTTGGGTTTTTGATTGAATGCTTTCGGTTGTCTATGTTGGGGCTTGCTTTGGATTGACTTGATTTCTGAAAATTGTTTTGCTGGCTTTCTGCTTGTCTTCTAATGGGATCTGGGTATGGGTTTCTCGTTACCGTATATGAGGCTGTGTGTGCTGGCTTTCGGGTGTGGATTGATTTTCAGGCTCCCTGGTTCTGGTTATGAATGAGGTTAGGAATTACTGTCTGTGAATTGGTTTTGGTTGATTCCTTGCCTTGTTGAATAGCTGTGTTGCCTTGCTCTGTTACTACTGCTGAATTACTTGGATGCTTATTGCCGAATTACTCTCTTCTGCTTGATTTTCTGTTTGCTTGCTTTGCTTGTTAATTGAGTTACTCGGCTGTTGTGTGATTGCTTCTTCGACTGCTTGTAAATTGCTTGATGCTTCTATGATCACGGATTGGGGACTTTATGTAGGGATTAAATCCCTTTCAACTTGGAAAGCCGTGGATCCACCGAATCTATCAAGAATTTTCATGATTTAATTTTTCTGAGATCTTTAGTTAATTAAACAGCCTTGATGTCCGCGTATTTCCAAAATTAAAATGTATTAATTACTTATGAATCTTGGGCTTGGATCTTCACCGATTGAATCTTCCCCAAATCTTTCCATTTCGATTTTTCTTTTTTCTTTTTGTTTGTTTTTAAACATGACAGAAGACCAAAAATTAAAAATTAAAATAAAAACTAAAATGAAAATGAAAATGAAAAGGCAAAAATTAAAAACCAAATAAATTAAACGAACGAAAACACAAATTTAAGCTCTTTGATCTTTGGCCTAAAATTTAATTTTATCAATTAAGGTTTAATTATAATTTTGCATAAAATTCAAAGCTTATTTTAGCAGTGGAAAATTTTTCGTATAAAATGAGATATATATATATATATATATATATATGAACTTATTCCCTCAAAACAATGAAACGTGAACCTTCATGGCGTTCTTTTCATGAATTTTCTCAATGGGATTTGATTAAGCCATATTAGATAAGCGTTTTAAGTGTTATTTAGTAGTTTGATGTGGTGTGGATGCGCTTCCGCTGCTACAGCTAAAAGTTTTGAGTACCAACTGTGACTTCTTTAGTTCTTTTTCTTACATCATAGTGTAAAAAGGATAGTATCTAACACCTCGCCGAAGTTTCAAGGTCAACTTGCTTCTTGAGTGTCTTTGTCACTCTATAGAATCTAAGTTGATTGCTATCAAAGAAAAGGATAGAAACTTATTACTTTACCATCTGCTCTCTGATCCACCTCTGTTATTGTCCTTTCTCTACCTCATTGAGACAAAAAGCTAGTTGGGATTCTTTGTGGAAATTGGACTTCAAAGGACTACTAGAAAGCTATCTAATTTTGATTTGAGACCCATATAGTTCAACTACTCTATGAATTTAAACCAGTATTAATTCATTTGCTGGAAGGCAAAAGATTTTTTATCCCAGTAATTGCTGCAAAGTTTAACATAGCAGAGAGACAGATGAGTGAAACATCAGATTAAAAGTCCAATCTCAATGAAATAGAGGAAGTACATTTAGTGCACAAGTACACAACTTAAAACTAGTAACTTTTCAGAAAATATGAAATAAATCCAGAAATATGATTTCCCGATATAAGCAAAGCGATGGTTCTTCATGCCAAAGAGCATATACATTGTTGCGAGCCACGAGTCTTGCCTCCAGGAACTCATTCCTACAAGTGAGTAAAGAAACGAATATCAATCTAGGTAGCTAAGTTGTGCAAAGAAGGTGTAGCATCTAAAGTGCTCGGGAGCGTCCTGTTTGAATGCTTTTTTCATTTAGGATAAACCAGTCCAGTTTGATGTGTAATACGAGCTAAGACGAGGGAGACTCACCATGGGAGGAGAAGGTTCCCAGTGATATTCTTTGATAAATACACCCCTGCCAATGTTATTGATACCTTTAACATAGTCTGCAACATCTGGTGGCATATTAGTAAGTATCAATTCCCTCAAGCTGGTCAGCTGGTGGAATGCATCAAGCGCTTTTAGATTTCTACAGTCCCTAATTTCTAATTCTCTGAGACTAGTCAAGGCTCCTTTCTGCACAACCCACTTACGAAGGTGGTTCAGTTGCCACAGTTTCAAAACATGGAGTTGAGGAAATGCTCCAGAGACACAATTCATTTCTTCCCCTATGTAGGAAAAGCTTAACAGCCTAAGTATATTTAGGTGAGGAAGATTTCCTAGCGCTTGCATTGGGTCTTTCTTCATTACTGTCTTTGATAGAGTGAGGCTCTTCAGGTTTGGAGGAAGATTTGTAGAATCAACTGATCTTACTAACCTTCCACATAAATACAAGTTAACCAGGTTGTGCTGCACCTCGAGGCTCCCGAACTTGATTAATGCTTGCTCACCAGACTCTCTTATCGATTTTATCCTTAGAGAGTGAAGTTTGTTCAGTTTTGAAGTCCAGTCAATATTTATACGTCGGATATAGAATGTCAACTGCAACTTTCTGAGGCATGTCAACTTACTGAAGGTCTCTGCAACTGATGTTTCATTGCCTATAGACAGCCCACATAAGCTCTGAAGCTTATTTGAGAATTCCACATTGGGCGTTTCCAGTGAATCGAGACAAATTCCATTCAGATAGAGATGGCGTAGGTTCCCAAGCTTCCAGAAAGAATCAGGCAAAGTGGTTATGTTGGTGTGCTTCACATCGAAAGTCTCCAGGCATTGCAAAACGCCAATAGAGACTGGAAGTGAATTAATAGCTGTTGATCTCAAGCCTAGGTACCTTAAGTTCAAAAGAGTGCCCACTGCCGTGGGAAGCGGAGGTTTGTAGACACTCTCAAGATCAAGAACCTTAAACACTCCACGGTTTCTCTTACTCATAATCTTTTCCATAAACATGGTTGAATTTCCATCAGGGATACCTCCTTTTAGAGTGTTGAAAGATACGTAAGAATGTAAATGGCCTAGGTGAAGCTTTGAAATGGGGATGTTTGAATATGTTGCAAGTCTCCGGACTGGTAATTGTGATTTTCTAGGTGAAAATACCTTGCTGTGGATCTGAAAAAATCCAATATTCCTTGCTTTTAAGGAGAAGACATCATGAATAAAGCTGGGCAAACGACATGTTTTGGGGCTCCCATCTAACCTCCATCTTACCACTTCAACAATTTTTCTACAAACTAGTTCCTCAAAATACATTTCTGCCAGATCCTCCTCAACCATATAACCATCGGGCAAGGATGTGACAAATCCTTCAGCTACCCAAAGATGAATCAACCTCCTTATGGGGATTTCAATTGCCTTAGGAAAGAGTCCCATGTAAAGAAAGCAAGGCTTCAAATAAGAAAGCAATTCATGATAGCTTAAGGCCAAGATATCGTCTATGGCAGTCACATGTTCAATCAGTCTTGACCATTCACTGTCTGTTAATTCTTTGGCAGACAACAAACCTCCCATTAAGACAATTGCCAAAGGTAAACCACGACAAAATTTCAAGATTTGCTCCTTGAATTTGATTAACTGAGAATTATGTAATCTATGTTCAGTAACTTCTAGCATTTTTAAGAACAATGCCCAACTTTCTTCATCATTCAATGGACGTACCTGTAGAGTTGAACCATCAGGCACTGCCACATCAGCCTTTCGAGTAGTTACAATAACCACACCACCAAGGGAAGAGGAAGAGGGTGGAAAGACCTCCTTGATTGCTTCCCAAAATTCCGGAGTGTCGACATCATCAACAACAATTAGATACCTTCCTCGTTCTAGAAGTTTAGGGAGCCTCCACTTTACTTCGTCTTCCAGTAGTGGCTCCTTCGCAATCTTTTCATCAAGCTGGCTTATCATTGCAACCAGGACATCTCTCATTTTGAAATCTTTCGTTACATGAACCCATGCAAAGCTAGAGAAATGCCGCTTAATATCTAGTCTGTTATATACTATTCTTGCTATGGCTGTTTTGCCTGATCCTCTCTCCCCCACCAGTGAAACAACTGCTGGTTGGTTCCCTTTCTCTGCCCCCTGGACTACAAGGTCAACCAAATTCTTTACTTGCTCCTCAAGGCCAACCACTTGACTTTCATCATCCAAACAAAAACCAGATATTCTTCCCCAACGTTGGTGTTGGCTTGGTCTTGGGATATTGTCATCAGCAATATCTTGAATATCCAATTGTTGTCTGTCTTTGAGTAAGTCTCCGGTCTTGAAAATGAAATCTTTGATCTCTTTGTTGAAGACAAATTGGTTATGGAAAGAAGTGAAAGGCTGCCGGCACATCATCATGAGGCCATTATGTCTCTGACTCTGCAGTGCTTTCCAGAAGAGAAAGGTGTCAATGGCATCATCCATGGAATAGAGAGCACGCAAGAGGCGAGTTGTCCACTGACTGCTGTTCATTTCAATGGCTAATGCTCGATTCTTCTCTGCTTGTTTCGGCAACTGCCTGACCAAGTTGAGCTGGTGGGTGGTTCTCTGAACTTGGCCTTTCACCTTAGGGGTCATGGCTATTGCTTCATCCTGAAGAAGATATTGCAGTTTCTGTGTGAGAAGATAAACTACCACTTCAGCATCCATGGAGAAGAACTGGCCAAAAATAAGGCAAACAAAACTCCCAAGAAACAGATCATAAACATGGGAATTTACTTGTATTTTGTTGATTGTTTTTGACCCTTTTCGGATATGAATGTTTTAACTGTGTTGAAGTCTTGATTTGTTGACAATATTTTTCCTCTGCCTTTCTCAAGACTTGCCTTGAATGCATAGGCAACCTAAGATGCGTGTCTCCATAAATACTAGGAAGTAGAAATCTCGGCATCACAGTGTTTCCAGATAGAATGGGATGAAATTTTATCCCTTTTTTACGACCTCGGATTCCTAGCCAAAGCAATTATTCAACAAGATGGGTAATAATTGAAGCAATTAGAATATTAGGTAGGGATTCCCTGCCAAGTCGTTGAAGCAATGAATAACATCCGAATCGCATATGAAAATCAACAAGATTAGGTAGTGCTTGATTGAAAAAAAAAAAAAGAGTATTTTTTACTTTTATTTTTTTGAAAAACAAAAAACATAATTAAAAATAAAAATAAGAATTAATTGCAAATTTTAATTGTAAACATAAAATATGTACATTTTTTTTTGGTATTTTGTAAATTATTATATTTGAATATTTTTTAATATGATTAATTAATAAATATATATTATGTTTATAATTAGATGTCATTAATAATAATAGGATTAAATATTTTATTTATTTATTTATTTTTGTATTTTTAAAAAATAATTTTTTATTTATTAAATACATTTTTAGAAAATAAATAATAAAAACTTTTTTAAAACAAAAATAAAAAAATTCACAAATTAAACGGAACATAAATTTTTTGGACTTTTGATCGTTTTGGGTCAAAATGGAATATTATACCATTGGAGAAAGAAATGTCCCGAGATTTTTATGTATTTTAAATATGATTAAAGACATATTATATTATCGTTGAAGACAACTGATATTTTAGTAAAAGATGACATTAATTTACTACTAATTAGATTTTGTTAAATTTGTTGTTGGATAAAAGGAACTAATTTAAAATTGAAAAATGAAATACTGAATTTTTATTTTAAGAAATTTATGATATAAAAATTTGTTTGGTATATTTTTAAAAATTAAACGTTATTATGTTTTTATTAATATTTTATAAAATGAAAGATATGATTTTATAATTATTTTCTATTGGTAAAAGTAAAAAAAATGAAATTAATGTAATTAAATAATTTTTTAAAATAAAATTGACTTAATATATTAAGTAATTAACAATTACTTAGCATTTTCAACATATTTTTATTGAAAAATTTTCATTAAGTGATTTTTAAAAATGGTTTATCAAATTATTAAAAATTTTAAGCTTGAGAAAATGTTTTTTGTTTTCATGTTCTGATTTTATTTTCTAAAAATTAGCTTTTATTTTCTTAAAAGTATATTTGGTAAATAAAAATAAAAATAAAAATATTTTTAAAAATACAAAAACAAGAAAATATAGAAAATATTCAATTATATTACTATTAATGACATTTAATTATAAATATAATATATATTTATTAATTAATGACATAAAAAATATTTAAATATGATAGCTTACAAAATATATAAAAAAAATAATGTACATATTTTGTTTTCATAATTGAAAACATTTTTTCTGTTTTCATATTTCAACCTATATTTATTTCATTTTTTAAAATTTTATTTTTATTTTTAATCATCAAATACTTTTTCATTCATATTTTTTATTTTTTTAAAAAAATAAGTTTAAAAAATAGACAAACATTACCTTAATTTTCTGATTTGAAAATTTTTAATGATTTATCAAACACTTTATATTACCAAAATTTATAAATTTGAAATAAAATGATTGAATTTGTAAATTTAGGTGAAGGATGAATTACTTTCCTTACAAACATAAAGTAACAAATTTACAAATAAGTTTTGTGAATCAATCCACTTTCATTTTTTCAAACTCATTCAATTTACATTTCTCACACGTTGCAAAACCAACCAAACAGACCCATATTATTCAGTCAATAGCCTTTAACAGAACGGTATGTTTTAGCCTGATTGCATTCCACATTGTCGGCACTCGACATTACATTAGAGGATAAAAATAAAATAACAAAACAGAACGGCGCGTTTTGCTCTAATCGTTAAACGGTGCGTATATAAGACTGATTACATTACAAATGTCGATGTGTAGAGGACCCACTCTCTCCCGATTCAGGAACCGAATCTGTTTTCCAGTTCGGCATACTTCCCTCGCTCAAGTCTCACTCAGAGTCGAGGGGTTTTTTTTGAGCTTTTTCTTAAAGGTCCTGCTCTTAAATCAAATCTTATCGTTTAAATCCATTGAAACCCAACGTCTCTTTCGGTTTGAAAACTATCTTTTGAAGTTTTAAAAACGCCTCATTGTGAAGACCCGTTATGGAGACGTCTCCCAGCTACTTTGACCCTCAAGATCACGCCGCCAGAGAAAAGTTTAGTCGTTGTGGGTGCTATTTTAATAATCCCTTTTTTTTTTACATGAAAATATTTTACATCTTTTTAGAGCTACCTACTTTTGTATAATAATGTGAAATTTTGGTTGTTTCAGTTGGGGTTTTCTGGGTGCTTTTTTGAAGCATTTTTTTCTTATTGGGAGTTGTATTTGATGGGTTCGAGCCTTTTCCATAAAACCCATTTCACAAAGTAATGTGTTATGTTGTTTGATGATGGCTTTATTCTTTGTTAATTGTTAGAATTTGGGTTTTGAATATGACACATATGGAATGGGATTTGATATTCAGACTTTGGATTGAATAGTTGATAGCTAGTAAGTTTTACTTATTGACAAGAATCAATGGTTTTCTGTATGCAATATTATTTATCATTACAAAACAAACACACACACACACACACACACACAAAAAGAAGAAAAAAGCATAAATGAATATAAATAGAAACAAAAAGGTGATATTAAAAGTGGAGTTTGGTTATTGAAGACTTGAGAGGTGGAAATAACACAAAATGATAATTACATGGCACTGAAACTCCGGAAAAAGAAGGGAGGAAAAGAGATAAAAACTGAGATGTTTAGTATCACGTTGTTTTAGGTTGTTCTTTATGTTGTTTAGTACGAATATTGCTTGTTTCCATTATATCTCAATTTATGTGGATTATATAATACAAACTACGTGCAGGAAAAGAAACTCAAGTTCAAGCATATCTCCACGGCAAGAAATTGGCGTTTCAAAGTTCAATGAAGCTAAGTTGTTGTATGAGGGACAGATTATCAGCAGCCCAACTAACGCTGCACTTCTTGAAAACATCAAGCAAGAGGCTGGGAGCTTTGATACTGATTATTTTGAAGAAATGCCTGCAAAGACACAGTCGGCTTCTAAGAGGAGACCATCTAATGATGGTCATCGAATTGTAGAGGTTGATAATGGTGTTGATTCAATCCGCAGATTAGGAAGTCAGGCACTAAAAGCTTGCAAGATTGAGGAGGATATATTGGCAGATAACGGAGAGACAACTTTTGCTTTGTTTGCATCTCTACTTGATTTTGCTCTTCAAGGTGCTTGAAGTACTATCAGTTATATTAAGTGCAACAACTCAAAGTTGAAACTATTTAACTAGCTTTTCTTGTTTCCACTGAACATAATACGACTATGATGATAGTTTTTGATAAATACGTCCTAGGATTTGTTTGGGATCCTTGATTCATTTCAGCTTTAGTAATTTGTAGGAGTTATGAAACTGATATTTGCATAAAATTAGGTTTGAATGTGTTAGGAAATGCAAAACTGATCGAAGTTCATTACATTATGCATGTTTATAAATAAAGTTTTACTTGAATTTCTTGTACATCAAGTCCATTAAATGTTGCAGTCTAAGAAACATGAGGACAGTAAGTAGAGAAATATGCAAACTCATAATAACAGAATTAAATTACTGGGTTGCTGATGGGTGTATTGCAAGTGTATCAAATCCTTGACTGACTGATCAGTATGTCTATATATCTATATTGGAGCACTATTTTGTAGTCTTCTTGATATGGCATCCCTATTCAAGCTATATATGTTTGTATTTTCATGTTTTGCAGGATTAATGCCGATTCCAGATCTGATTTTACAATTTGAGAGATCATGCAAGAATTTTTCAGAGTCAATTGGTTTTGTAGTGCTGGAATAGGTAAAATCAATGGGATTAATGTCCCAGTTGTGTGGGAACATTCATTCTTACATGTGCACCTTAATTTTTTATAGGCCTTGTGATTATCAGATGATTTGATTTGGTGCACACACAGTGCTTGTTCGTAGATACCTACTTGCTGATGAAATGAAGGATCCCTTCCAAGAGAAGCTTATGACTGTTGGTAATCGTATTCTACACATGTGAGTAATTTCGTATTCTGGTCTTATCATTGCTCTTATAACCACGGTAGGGAGTGATTTGAACTGCTTAGTGGTTCACTGGCCCTGACTATGAAATATCTAGTTTTTTAAGCAACTTGCTTATTATGTGTGCTACAATTGTTGAATTCTTGTCTTTAAGTACAAGCATTGATTTACTTCTGCAGGAGCATTGCTAGTTTTAGTGGATTCTCTCATTTGTGCATTATGTTGAGATGTCATGGTTCAAATAAGCAAAATGAATTTCTAAGTGCTTAGTTTAGCTCTTTCAAACATGAAAAATGTTGGAAGTCTATGGAACCTATGCAAGAAGCATGCATCTTAACTACAAACAACATGGAATCAAGTGGAGATCATCATAAATGATTGAAACCCATAACTTTCAGTTGATTAAAATTTGATTTTAGAAAAGAATAAAGATTGTGAACACTTGGCCTTCAGTTGATGAAACCTTTGATGTAAGAAAGATATAAAGGTAGTGATGACATTTGCTATGAAGTGTGACTTTTTCTTATCCACTTTTGTATAAGCACCCAAACATTGTTATTTTATTAAAACCTTTAATTATCACTTTTGTTTACATGGAGTTAATATATTTGTCCAATAAAAAAATTCATTTTTATCAATAATTAAGATCAAGAGCTGTGGTAGTTGTCTAACATGTTCTAGCTGTCTTTATTTAGTAGGAAAATTTGTTATTGAGCATGAATCTAGTATGTTAGATGTTTTAGATGCCCACAGCCCATTATGTCTCTCATGGAATGGTGTGTTCCTTTGGGATGTCAACTATGTTACAGAAGTCCTTCAATACGTGTCTTATATGAAAAAGGGAAACCATCTTGAGTCTATTGATAAGTTCACTTAGTTTGGTTGGTAATTGTTAATTATAAAATTAAATTTCAGGTATTCTATGATTTTATTCTCCAAGTATCATGAAGAATTGGTGGGGATTTATGCTTCTCAGCTTGCATCTTGATGTTCTGTCGATCCCTTTGTGTAAATGATGGAGCTAAGGCCAAATAGCAGGTAACAGCTATATGTTGTTTTCTATCATCTTTTCCTTTGTGGTTATTCAATATTGAGTATTTCCGATGGGTTACCTTTTATCATTGGGTACTTACTGGCCAGGTGTTATGTCCATGCGGACAACAGTGACTTGCATATTTATTTATTACACTGTAATGCATGTTAATCAACAAAGAAATATCATAGCCAAAACTTTTGAGCTGGTATTCTAGAAACATGCATATTATATTGACTTGCAGAAGAGGAAAGAAAGTGTTTCAAAACTAGTTGCATCTTAATTTTTATAATATGTCTGGTGGCGTTATGTTTTGTTGCGTGGCCTGTCTACATAAGTGTGAATGGTATGAGATGTAAAATTTAAGCTTACTTGTGGCATTAAGGGATTAGGTCTGTGTTTCTAATTTGCGTTTGAGTTTTTCCTGCTGCTTGATTTGTGTAATGATGCATCTAATTATGTAGATAAACAACAATAATACGTGAATAATGAATTGTAAAATACTAGATATTTGTCAAAGTTTTGTTTGAAACAAAATAAATTGTCTGAAACCATGAATCTGTGAACTATTTCCAGAATGAGAGGCATTCCACTGCTTCACTCAATTCTGGTGATTGAGATTGTTGTTATAGTTTAGTGCATGTTTTCTATAGTTCTACATTGTATATACCAGTAACCCATGCAGGGAACATCTTTTGGGACAGCTGTTTCCTTTTGTTTTTTGGCCGGATGACAAGGCTGTTTGAATATCATATTTCTTTACTCAAAGAAAGTAAGAATGCCTATGGAAATGCTAAACATTAATAATTTTTGTCTTCTTTTGAGTCCTTTGTTGTGTACTTCCATGGATGAATCTCCCTTCTCTTTTGCATTCATTCAAATAAGTTGCTAAAATTTGACAACCATCCATTGTGGCCACTAGACTGAGGTGCTTTTCTGGCTGAAGGAGGCGATTACATTGTCCAGGCTGCAGTTGTGTCCAGAATATATACTTAATGTTAATTGTTCTTCCCTTGTTTTTAAGCATTTTGAGGAAAGTGAGAAAATGTAAAAGATTTTTTTTAAAGAAAGTTAAAAGGTGGGAGTGCATTATATACCTTATATTTTATTTTCCAAAGACAGCCTACACAGGCAAAAAATAATATAAAGAAGGAAAGGGGGAGAGATGAAAGAAAAGAGAGCTGGAATCACTTTTTACTGTCATCATTTCTATATCTACTTTCCAGATGCTGATGCCTGAATTCTGGGATCATATGTAGTTATCCTTTTTATTGTTTCTTATGTTTGTCTCTTTAATTTTGATGCATTTAGTATGGACCTCCAAGGTTGTGATTTAAATAGCTGGAATCCATACTTTTCCTCCGATTATTGCTGATTTTAGTTTGAGAGATGAGCTAAGATGTATGTCAAAGTGAAGTGGAAACCATAGAGGCAGAGATATCAGTTTACTGCAAAATAAGACCCTACTAGTCTTTCTCCATATTAAATCTTTGCATTTGTTCTTAGTTTTAAGTTGCAATGTTTTTGTTTCTTCACTTGGCAACAGTGTGCATGTCAAATATAAAATCTTCCTTTCTGCTATGGAGTATTGGCCATTTTCTCTAGGGGATGATTTGAAAGGAAGCTTTGAAGAAATTATTGAGGTATTGATGTGTTTTCTGAAGCATATATTTCAGGCAGTAGTGATCCATTGTTTTCAAATAAAATTGGAATTTTTTTGGCATGCCAACAGACTTTTGTCACGATAGTGAGAAACCAAAGTTGGAAAATACGATGAATCATCTGATGTTGTGGAGCAACATAGGCTGCATAGTCTTGAAAAAGCTTTGGTTGTCCGATGGCTCTGCTTTACACCTCCTTCCACAATTACTGATGTTAAAGATGTTAGCGCATAACTTTTTGTGTGAGCATTAGTACACAGGTAATTTCTTCCTGTTCTTTCTCCTGGTAGCTACATTTGATTGTTGTAAATGGGTTCCTGGTTTAGTTTGGTGTACCTTTTTTTCATTTTTGCTTTAACTATGGAATATAAGTTTAGTAGTCATTGGGAAGTGAGTATTAATATGATTAAGTTGAATAGTGAGATAGTACCAAAAATTAGTCATTTTCAATATTTGGGATCAATTATTAAAAGTGATGCTAGAGATTAAAAAGGATGTAAATTATAAGATTTAAGGAGGATGGGTGAGGTGATGAAATGCCTTGGGTGTATTGTGTGATCACTACATGCCTTTAAAGTTAGAGACGAAGTTGTATAAAATAATTGTAAAACCTGCATTGTTTTACGATACTTGAGTGTTGGGTTATTAAGAAACAACATGAGAAGAAAATGAGTAACTAAAACGGAAATGTTTAGATAGACGTGTGGTAAGATTAAAAGAAATAAAATCAGAAGTGAAAAAATTCGAGCAAAACTAGGAGTATCTGCAACAAACATGGACGCTGAACGTTGGGATAACTGGAAGAAACAGTAGTTACAACATATGATCCAACCACATCATTGTTAAATTCACAATCACAGTATCTGCAAGTCTGAGACAAACAACAGCGATAATGAAGTGGGAGAAATCCACAAGCTGTCCACTATCTCTACAACTATTTGGAACTACATTAAAGGAAGAAATATAAACTATCGGATACGCAGCTTCATCATTCTATTTCCAACCTAGCAATAATATTTATCACAGAATTTCCCTGCTTTCTCATGGTCTCCAAGTTCTGTGTAGCAATCCGCAATTGCTCCATAAGCTTTTGTATTTCCGGACGACTCTCCTTGTAGCTCAGAGATTGCTAAAACCATTGAGTGGTATTTAATGGCTTCTCTTTGCAATGAAGCACCTGAATGAATCTAACTTAAGTTAGAGACTGTTATAATTTCTGCTAACTTACAGGGAAATGAACTCCAGGTTTAGGAACCAAGCAATTAGAAATGAAAAGTTTTAGGCTTCAATAGATTGCACGGTTATCCATAAAAAATAAAACCACATAACAATCACATAAAGTTGGTACAAGTTCAAAGGCTTCACAGTTTCCTCCCTTTATGTTTTACCGCTACTACTCTATTCATAAATGACTTGGGACTCTTCATTACCAAATACATGGTTCCCAATGGAAGCAATGCTTTGAGTATCTTAAAACTTTATGCACATGGATCCAAGGCAATGCCTTAAGGTATCATAATCCTAATTCCTCTTTTGTACTTGGTTTGGCTTAGACATAACCATATATTACAAAATCAGAGATGGAGACAAGATGGGTAAACAGAGATACATAGACATGGGAAGATTATTTTCTTAAGTTATATAGACAAGCTTTTTTTCTCAAGTTATATAGACGCGTCAGTGTTCAGGATGAATTCCAGGGTTTAGAAGGCGAAATTTGTAGTTTTAGATGTTGCCATCACTCAGTTACAAATTTGTATTTCAGACTGAAGACAGTTATGTATTTCTAGGCTTTTGTGAACTGAGACATATCTTTAACTGTGCAAGTAATGTATTTAGAATCTCTTCTACATGCTATCCTAACGTGAATCTGAGTCTGGGTATTTTAGGTGTAACAATTTCTTCAAGCAAAGAAAAGATTGTTTGAGCAATGGAATATCAATTGCTGACTTATGTTTGTATGTCATTTGCAAATCACTCAGAGCTGTATTATGGACCAGGGCCAAAGATGACTAAAAAATACGAAGATACCTCCAATAAGGGCTACAAATAGCAGTAAAGGCATGTTGAAAAAGGAGTTATCAGATTCACACGTTTCTGCCAGGGCTTTGAAAGGAGCAGTAAATATCAAAACGTTGGTGGCAAGAAATGCTGTCACTGGGTCTCTTAATCCAAAGCCGCTGTCCCAGCATCAGCTTCAATCAATTAGAACAGTCTGATGAAAATGGAGAAATTTATGTTAATAAAGAGTAACATGATACACCATAAATTGCAAAATTCAAATAAAATTCAAGTAATTTAAAGGCATATGCCTCTTTCTTGATCTTCAAACATTGAACCTCAAGCATTCTACAAATCTTATCAGCTGTGGAGGTGAACATGTAGCTAACAAATCATATCCAAGTAAACACAAAAAACAAATAGCTAACTAGCTTAGTTTTGTTAGCTTAGTTTTTTTAACCATGACTAAAAATAATAAAAGCATGAGAGCTGCCTAGAGGACTCACCGTCATACCTCAAGAGCAGATAACTGTTGTAAAAGTTCATCATAAGGTGATGAAACACGATCCAAGACCCGCTCTCTCTCCGGTTTTTGGCAATGGAGTAAGGACTGTTTATCCATTTCTTGCAACAGATGATGAATCTCAACCAGTCCATTAACATATTTAAAGGATTATCCAAAGTTTCCTACTTTAAATATAAACGATGCTATCTTCCCTGTTTTCAATCATCAAAATTTAACTCCAAAATTAGTTACAATAATATTTTATTCCACCATTAATTCAATTCTACTATTAAGCCATTTTACTCTTCATTTTAAACTTTTACCATCCATTATTTAATCATTCTTCAAATACCCATTTCAAGACTTCACATATATTTCCAATTTTGCATCAAAATTCAGGAGAAATTTCATATTTGTAAATTAAAAGAACCCCCAAGCTTACATTGCAGCAAAAACTAAAAAAAAGCAAATTACAAAGAAATAAAGTTTTTTTTTTTTTAACTAAAGGCAAAGAAAAGAAGAGTGAAAAAAATGGTAAGAGGAAGGGAGCACTGACCAGAAAATTGGGGCTTGGCGAAAGATGGTGAGAGAAGGGAGCATGGTGGGGTAAGGAAGCAAGAGCAATGGATTATGACTGCCATTGCTTTGGATAAAACTTGGATTCTCCAAACGCAGTGTTTTATATGGTGTGAGCGTTGGAACATATATATGGCCTTGGAATTTTACAAAAGTTACAATTATGCCATTCTTTGTTGTTTAACAGAAAATTTTATTTAAAATGGATTTGATTGTGATGCTTTATCCTTTACCATATATGGCGAAATATGCTGGATTTTATAGGTTTTTCTACCTCTATTTTCTGTTTGTTGTGGGAGCAAACAGACCATTAAACCAAATTCCAATGGACTAAAAGCTCAATAAGCTCAAATAAGGTGGCAGCCCTGTATGATTTTTTTTGAAGAGTTCCCAGTTTGAGATAAGAAAAAAGCGATTGTTAGAATTTGAACCAAAATCTTTTAAATGCCACTTTTTAAAAATGGTTAAATGAACCAACATATGAGCTTCCGCAACTTTGTATACACTATTGACTATAAGTTCAAAACTTTGTTCCAACAATCCTGGAACATCATTCTTCTAGAAAAACGGCTTAAAATTTGTTGGTCAACTATGGGAAGAAATCTGCTAGTGATTTCTGCCTTTAAGCTCTGATCGAGGTTTAACAAAGTACATGAATTCAGCACAGGCACTGTCTATTTTATAAAAGAAGGGAAAAAGATGACAATTCGGAAATGGGAATTCTCTGGTCAAGAAGAAACTATAAGGGGAAAGATTATTTGTCCATTACAAAATTTCCAGTCTTGAAGAAAAGCAAATTTTACGTAGGCAATACCAAGAATGAGAGAAAAAGGCACTTATGGCAGCAAGCGAGCCTAATGCTGACAACCATATACTACTATAAAATCACTCGGTAGGCTATTTCGCAGTCAGCCTGGAAATGTCACGGGGTTGTAGGATTTGGTAATGATCAGTTAAGCCCAAGTGTGCCATCAGAAGCCAAACATGGGTTAGAAGCTGTCCTCCTCGCCTCAGATGTTGTCTGTGCTGACTTCCTTCGCAATGACTAGCAGCATGAGCAAGCATTTCCACCCAAGTATCAGCAATTAAGGTCCATTCCTGCCATAAAATAGTAGTTATAAGTTCACTAATGAGATCTCAATTTTCAAGAGTGAGAGAGTTGGGAGTAATATTATTTACCTCTTCCTTGTTTGGTATTTCTTTTAAACTTCTTGCAAGGCTACTTCCATCAGATAACATAGATTTCCTTGCTTTATACCTCCTTCCAAGCAATTCAGTCCCCATGGTAGCGTTGACCAACTTATTATACGTTTCAATTTTGTTTTTTGGTGGCACTGGTGTATTGCAAAAATCAATGACTTCGGCACAAGTGTCTTCAATTAAAATATCACCAAGCCCAGCTGGTAACATGGAAGGATAATTAACAAGCAAATGCAGCATATACCTTGACATGAGAATGCTCATTTCGCGCTTTGATTGAATGGCGGCCCCTACAGATTCCTCCAAGTGGTAGCAGATGTCTGTAGCAATGTGCCAAATCAGAATTCTCTCATCAAATCCTTTCTCCACGCTCCACTTAAGTTCACTGTGACCATGAATTTCCACTGCAAATTTTTTACTGCCTACATCCGAGGTATCATGAACTGTTGCTTTAAGTCTCTCCTTGAGATGCTTGAATATCCATTTCTTTAAGGTGCTGGATATCACCTCCTTAGTAACATATCTCTCCTTTTCTTGCTTTTCCACGATGCCTAAGAACTTAAAGAGTTTTAGAATTCTATGGCAAAGGTGAGGTTTTACTTCACTTAAGATTGGATCGTAAATCATTGGTTTTTCTCTAAGTGCAAAGCCTAGGAGATTGTATTGAGCCATGGTGTTTGACCAACGAGGATTGTTAAATAGTTGGATAGAAGCAATGGCTTTCAAGATAGAAGTTTTTTTGTGCAAGCACAACCAGACAAAGGTCCAGTCCGAGAAAAGAATGACCAATGCGGCATATATGTCAAGTACAATAGCTACCACCAGCAATAGGAAGGTTATGACAAGGTCAGCCTTGTTATACTTGTGCTTATCATCAGCCAAAGAGAAAAGGACTAATACAATGCAGGTAAGTGATAGATTGATGCAGCGCAAGCTAAGGCCCCAACGAGAATAGACCACCGATGCTTTCGTGTAGAGCAAATCGTACATGAATGCAAGCTCCATTTCAACTACTTCAAAAGCCTTGTCAAAGGACAGATTCTGAAATACAGCTAGGCTGGTGTCTCGATGCCGAGAGGTAAGTAGGAGATTTACAAAAATACGCTTGAATATCTGAAGTAGTCCATAAGCTTTAAGTAATTCATTGGTCTTGGAAATGGAATTGTCTTCAAAAGCAAAGGTCTCCATGGGCAGTTGAATATCGATTACTCTGTTTGGTATTACATTGTATCCCTCTTCTTTCTTCACATCATACTCCTTGAGTAAATTTGGGTTACTGGAGCCTGGAAGATCACGACGAACAAGCGTGGAACCTTTAATCTGTTCGCTGCTTGCTGAACGGAGGACCCAGGTTCTTTCTACATACTTGCTGATGCCAACAAAGACCATTAAAGTGGACAGAATTGATAGATGAGAACCTCTCCATGCCATGAGGAAGGTGTTGAATGCAACTCCCGTTTGTAGAGCCAACCCAAGCAGGTGCCTCAACCACAACTCATTGTCCTCTAATGAATAAGCAGTGATGGTGTCAGGGCCACCCAAATGCAACAACAGGAATGGTGCCCAAAATACATGTAGTTCAATGTTGGCATCCGATACTCCATTGTCACTAGTGTTTCCCAGGTCATTTGAGATAATGCCAAGGGCCATTGTTGCCACAGTATCTGCAGCTAAGTAAGCAACCCATACTGCAAATCTGATCAAAAGTTGGTAACTATATTTTCTGCGATTGCCCATGACAATGAGTATTGTCTGAAAAATGAGGCTAAGTAGAACCAGTCCTCGTAGCTGCCAGTCCTTCCATAGGTTTTTGAAAGTTTGAATGAGTGGCTCCATCATTTCCTCTTATTCTTTACAACAATCTGCTAAGAATTATATAGTTATATTTTATAAAGATTGACCTAGAAATGTAACATCGATACAGAAAGGAAGGTGAATAAGGCTTTGATATGTGGGTAGACTGAACTAACTATTGAAAGTAAGGCCATCTAGGTTTCATTATAAAGGTAGAAACAGACAATGACATAGGTATGAAATGCTACCATATCACCAGCTATACTGTTTCTCATTAAGTACTAATTTGTTCCATGAATAAGCAGATCATTGATCCAAAATAACAGAAATAAAGAAATTTTACAATCAGCCCGAGTAATTACATTAAGACAAGTTCAACAAACAAACAGGAAACAAGCACACAAGAATTGAAGAAGTTCCTTCTTGTAGATGGCTAAATCTACATTCAAAAAGTTGGCTCAAGCCAAACAAGAGTATAATGCAGTTATTGAAGCGCAGTGAGAAGGGAATATGAAGAGAAGATTAAGTACCTGTGTTAATCACGGATGACACTGCTTTATGGTCTAATCACCAATGCTTATCCTCCTCACTCTAAGCCAAATTTCCGGAGGAAGAGAGAAAGAGAGAGAGAGGAAGAAAAAAAAGAAAGATAGTTATGGACCCATCTGCAATGGTCTGCTTGAGTCTTGACTGCTTGGAAATTATTTGCATACTGCATAATGACCATATTTGCTTGACTTTGACTTCATGTATAAATAAATTTGTGACCATACATTCTTTTCTACATTAACTGGAAAAGAGAAATGTATCCGAATGAGAATAATATTTGGTACTGCATTCTCTCGAAACAATTAAAAGTGAACCTTCATGGCGTTCTTTTCATGAATCTTCTCAATGGGATTTGGTTAAGCCGTATTAGATATAGCCGTTTAAATGTTATTTAGCAGTTTGATGTGGTGTGGATGCGTTTCCGCTCGCTACAGCTAAAAATTTTCTGAGTACTAGCTGTTACTTCTTAAGTTCTTATTCGTTCATCATGGTATAAATAACATAGTATCTGATACCTTGCCGAAGTTTCAAGTTCAACTTGCTTCTTGAGTTCCTTTGTCACTCTATAGAATCCAAGTTGATTGCTATCAAAGAAAAGGATAGGAACTTACTACTTTACTCTCTGCCCTCTGATCCACCTCTGTTATTGTCCGTTCTCTTCTTGAGACAAAAAGGTAGCTGGGATTCTTTGTGGAAATTGGACTTCAAAGGACTGTTAGAAAGCTTATCTAAGTTTGATTTAAGATCCCTGTAGTTTAACTACTCTAGGAATTTAAACCAGTATTAATTCATTTGCTGGAAAGAAAAAGACTTTTTATCCCAGTAATTGCTGCAAAGTTTAACATAGCAGAGAGACAGGTGAGTGAATCATCAGGCTATTGAGCCTTCCTTGAGTGCATTGCTTCAAAAGTCCAAACTCAATGAAATAGAGGAAGTATATTTAGTACACAAGTACACAACTTAAAACTAGTAACTTTTCAGAAAATAGAAATAAATCCAGAAATATGGTTTCCCAATATAAGCATAGAGTGATGGTTCTTCATGCCAAAGAGCATATATATTGTTGCGAGTCACGACTCTTGCCTCCAGGAGCCCATTCCTACAACTGAGTAAAGCAACGAATATCAGTCTAGCTAGCCAAGATGTGCAAAGATGGTGCAGCATCTACAGTGCTTGTGAGTGTCTTGTTTGAATGCTCTTTCATTTAGGATAAACTAGTACAGTTTGATGTGTAATATGAGCTAAGACAAGGGACACTCACCATGGGAGGAGAAGGTTCCCAGTGATATTCTTTGATAAATACACCCCTGCCTGTGTTATTGATACCTTTAACATAGTCTGCAACATCTGGTGGCATATTAGTAAGTATCAATTCCCTCAAGCTGGTCAGCTGGTGGAATGCATCAAGCGTTTTTAGACTTCTACAGTCCCTAATTTCTAATTCTCTGAGACTAGTCAAGGCTCCTTCATTCACAACCCACTTACGAAGGCGGTCCAGTAGCCACAGTTTCAAGACACGGAGTTGAGGAAATGCTCCAGAGATGCAATTCATTTCTTCCCCTGTGTAGGAAAAGTTTAAAAGCCTAAGTATATTTAGGTGAGGAAGCTTTCCTAGCACTGGCATTGGGTCTTTGTCCATTCCCGTCTTTGATAGAGTGAGGCTCTTCAGGTTTGGAGGAAGGATTCTAGAATCAACTGGTCTTAGTAACCCTCCAAATAAATACAAGTTAACCAGGTTGTGCTGCTCCTTGAAGCTCTTGAACTTGATTGATGCTCGCTCACCAGACTCTCTTATTGATTTTATCCTTAGAGAGTGAAGTTTGTTCAGTTGTGCAGCCCAGTCAATTTTTATACTTGTTGGGATATAGAATGTCAGCTGCAACTTTCTGAGGCATGAAAACTTACTTAAGGTCTCTGCAACTAATGATTCAGTGCCTATAGACAGCCCACATAAGCTCTGAAGCTTATTCGAGAACTCCACAGAGAGCCTTTCCAGTGAATCGAGACAAATTCCATTCAGATAGAGATGGCGTAGGTTCCTAAGCTTCCAGAAAGAATCCGGCAAAGTGGTTATGTTGGTGTGCTTCACATCCAAAGTCTCCAGGCATTGCAAATTGCCAATAGAGACTGGAAGTGAATTAACAGCTGTTGATCTCAAGCCTAGGTACCTTAAGTTCAAAAGAGCGCCCATTGCCTTGGGAAGCTGAGGTTTGTAGACACTCTCTAGATCAAGAACCTTAAACACTCCACGGTTTCTCTTACTCGTAATCTTGTCCAGAAACATGCTTGAATTTCCATCAGGGATACCTCCTTTTAGAGTGTTGAAAGATAAGTAAGAATGTAAATGGCTTAGGTGAAGTTTTGAAAAAGGTATGTTCGAATATGTTGCAAGTCTCCGGGCTGGTAATTGTGATTTTCCAGGTGAAAATACCTTGCTGTGGATCTGAAAAAATCCAATATTCCTTGCTTTTGAGGAGAAGAAATCATGAATAACGCTGGGCATACGACATGTTTTGGGGCTCCCATCTAACCTCCATCTTACCACTTCAATAATTTTTCTACAAACTAGTTCCTCAAAATACATTTCTGCCAGGTCCTCCTCAACCATATCACCATCAGACAAGGATGTGACAAATCCTTCAGCTACCCAAAGAAGAATCAACCTCCTTACGGGGATCTCAATTGCCTTAGGAAAGAGTCCCATGTAAAGAAAGCAAGGCTTCAAATAAGAAGGCAATTCATGATAGCTTAAGGCCAAGATATCTTCTATAGCAGTCACATGCTTAAACACTCTTGACCATTCACTGTCTGTTAATTCTTTGGCAGACAACAAACCTCCCATTAAGACAATTGCCAAAGGTAAACCACCACATAATTTCAAGATTTGCTCCTTGAATTTGATTAACTGAGAATTATGTAATCTATCTTCAGTAACTTCTAGCATCTTTAGGAACAACGCCCAACTTTCTTCATCATTCAATGGACGTACTTGTAGAGTTGAACCATCAGGCACTGCCGCATCAGCCTTACGAGTAGTTACAATAACCACACCACCAAGGGAAGAGGGCGGAAAGACCTCCTTGATTGCTTCCCAAAATTCAGGAGTGTCGGCATCATCAACAACAATTAGATACCTTCCACGTTCTAGAAGTTTAGGGAGCCTCCACTTTACTTCGTCTTCCAGTAGTGGCTCCTTTGCAATCCTTTCATCAAGCTGGCTTATCATGTCAACCAGGACATCTCTCACTTTGAAATCTTTCGTTACATGAACCCATGCACAAATAGAGAAATGCCGCTTAATATCTAGCCTGTTGTATACTATTCTTGCTATGGCTGTTTTGCCTGATCCTCCCTCCCCCACCAGTGAAACGACAGCTGGTTGTTTACCTTGCTCTGCCCGCTGGACTACAAGAGCAACCAAATTCTTTGCTTGCTCCTCAAGGCCAACCAGGTGACTTTCATCATCAAAACAAAAACCAGATATTCTTGCCCAACGTTGGTGTTGACTTGGTCTTGGGATTTTGTCATCAGCAACATCTTGAATATCCAATTGTTGTCTGTCTTTGAGTAAGTCTCCGGTCTTGAAAATGAAATCTTTGATCTCTTTGTTGAAGACAAATTGGTTATGGAAAGAAGTGAAGGGCTGCCGGCACATCATCATGAGACCATTATGTCTCTGACTCTGCAGTGCTTTCCAGAAGAGAAAGGTGTCAATTGCATCATCCATGGAATAGAGAGCACTCAAGAGGCGCGTTGTCCACTGAATGCTGTTCATTTCAACAGATAATGCTTGATTCTTCTCTGCTTGTTTCAGCAACCGCCTGACCCATTTGAGCTGGTGGGTGGTTCTCTGAACTTGGCCTTTCACCTTTGGAGTCATGGCTATTGCTTCATCCTGAAGAAGATTTTGCAGTTTCCGTGAGAGAAGATAAACTACCACTTCAGCATCCATGAAGAAGAACTCACCAAAAATAAGGCAAACAAAACTCCCAAGCGACAGATCATAAAATGGGAATTCGCAGGTATTTTGTTGATTGTTTTTGACCCTTTTCGGATTTGAGTGTTTTAACTGTGTCGAAGTCTTGTTTTGTGGACAATATTTTTCCTCCGACGTTTCCAAGACTTCCCGTGAATGCATAGGCAACCAAAGATGCTTGGCCCCACCAATAGTGACTCAAATATGGGAACTTTGTTTAAGATTCGGAAGATAGCATTTGATAGGAAAAAAAATTTAAAGAAGTATAATTTTAAGAGTACAGAAATTATTGATGAGTAAATTAATATAATTATAAATAGGTAAGATTTTTATAGGTTTAAGTAGGAGAAAAAAATATATGTACGTTTGAAGTACGTATATTTATATGTTTATTAGTAGATTAGAAAAAATTAAGATATTTCATATAAATATGATGATTATTTTATTTAAATAGATTAAAAGATATTGAAATGATTCACATAATTATTAGTACAAATAAGTATATATTTATTTGAATTGATAGTATTTAATAAAATTAAATAAGGAGATTGAGGGGTTTTATAAGTATTAATTATTAAGTGATTGATTGAGATTATTTGTTTGTAATTTTTTATAATTAATAAGTATTAATTATTAAGTGGTTGATTGAGATTATTTGTTTATAATTTTTCATAATTAATTTTTTTTTATATGTGAATGCAAGTTAATTGGATTAAACTGTATTAAATTATTATCTCTTATATGAGGTGATTAATTGTTTAATTATACTTTCATTTACTCGAATATTCAATTGTATTAAGGGTTTTTTATCTAATAAGTAGTATTAGAGTTAAATGTTTGAGACATAAAAAAAAACAAGCCTGAACTTGATTCAAATGAAGAGTTTGAGTTCGTACTTTAAGATATCGGTTTTGTGTAAAATGTGAAAACACAAAAGAAGATTGTTACCAAACTTCTATTGCATATGAAGTCGAGTATGTCTAGTATAAAAAATTGATGATTCGATAGAATTTGTGTTTAGGTGGAGATAATTGAAAACAGTGACTCAAATATCATAATATATTTATTTGATATTAGCTAAGTATTATTTAATAGATAAAAAGATTTATAGATGAATAATTCTAAGAGAAAAAAATTATTAATAGACGAGTTAGTATTTTTTATTTAAGATTGACTAAATATTATTTTATAAATAATAAAACTTGTAGAAAAAAAGTTTTAAGAAGAAATAAATTATTGATAGACAAGTTAGTATAATTATAAATAATTAAAATTTTTAAATATAAAAAAATATAAAAAAGTTGTAAAATTTTATTAAATAGATATTTCATAGGACTATAGGAGATTAATATTCTTATAAATGTATATGTGTATATTTAAAAATTTATTAATAGACTAAAAGAGATTGAGAGAGTTCACATAAATAAAATAAAAGAGATTGAAAAAATTCATAGAAGTATAATGATTGTTTTGATGAATTAAAAAAGATTGAAATTGTCTATATAAAAATGAATGGACATAAATATATATTTGTTTGAATTATAAATATTTTATAAAATTAAAAAAAATTAAACGAGTCTATATATACTAATTATTAAATAATTGATTGAATTGTTTATAATTTTATATAATTAATAAATATTTTTAAATTCATCGAATTAAATTATATTAAATTATTATATTTTTATAATTAATTAATTAATTATATTTCCGAACGACTTTTACCAAACATTCATAAACGGTAGGAAGTAAAAATCTCACAATCATTAGTGTTTTGATATGCACGAAAGGAATGTGATTCGTGGCTCCGAAAAAAGTATGTTAAGATGGAGAGATTTTATTAAAAAAGGGCACGTCAGTATAGCATGTAGGGAACGGTGAAAGAATGGATTGTTGAAAATATCCAAAACGTGCCTGATTTTAAGATTCCAAATCGAGGCCTTTTTCTAAAGTTGCGGATGTTACGCTTCCAGATAGAATGGGATGAAATTTAACCCTTTTTACGAGCTTGGATTCCTAGCCAAGTCATTGAAGCAATTAATAACATTCCACAAATCAACAAGATTTGATTATCTGAAAATTTGATCGTTTAGGGTCGATGGAATATTATAGAGAAATGATATTTTAGTAATACATGACATTATTTTACTACTAACTAAATTTTGTTAGATTTGTTGTTTGATAGAAGGAACTAATTTAACTTTGAAAAATTAAATACTAAAATTTTAATTTAAAAAATTTAAGTATTGAATTGATGATATAAAAATTTGTCTGGTATATAATTGAAAATTAAATGTTAATATTTTTTATTACTATTTTATAAAATAAGACATGATTTTATAATTATTTTCAATTGGTAAAAGTTAAAATAAATATGAAATTAATGCAATTAAATAATATTTAAAAAAATTGACTTAATGTATTAACTAATTAACATCTACTTAGCATTTTCATCATATTTTTATTGAAAATTTTTCATTAAGTGATTTTTAAAAATGATTTATAAACTATTAAAAATTTTAATTTTCAATAATTTAAAAAATTTTAATTATTTATCAAACACTATATATTACCAAATTTCATAAATTTGAAAAAAAAGGATTGAATTTGTAAATTTAAGTAAAGGATGAATCGCCTTCCTTACAAACAAGTTTTGTGAATCAAACCACCTCTTTTTCAAACTCATTCAATTAACATTTCTCACTCATTGCGAAATCATCCAAACAGACCCTAGTCTTCAATCAATAATGCTCCTTAACCCAGAGGATAATAAAACAACAAAACAGAACGGTGCGTTTTGCTTTAACCGTTAAACGGTGCGTTTAAGACTGTTACATTACACACCGTCGGCGTTACATTAGAGCATAAAACAACAAAACAGATTTGCTTTAACAGTTAAACGGTGCGTTTAAGACTGATTACATAATTCACTGTCGGTGTATAAAATCCCACTCTCCCAATTCAGGAACCGACTCTGTTTTCCGTTTCCGCATACTTCACTCGCTCAACTCTCACTCAGAGTGGGGGGTTTTATTTTTTTGGCCATTCATGGTCGAGGGTTTAAGCCCTTTTCTGAGTTTTTTTTTTTTTTTAGTTTAGCACAAATTCCTGGGCTTAAATCAAACCTTATTGTTTAAATCCATGGAAGCCCAACTTTTCTTTCGATATGAAAACTATCTTTTGAATTTTAAATAACGCCCCCATTGTAAAGACCCGTTATGGAGACGTCTCCCAGCTACTTTGACCCTCAAGATCATGCCACCAGAGAAAAGTTTCGTCGTTATGGGTACTATTTTAATAATCCTTTTTTTTTTATGAAAATATTTTACATCTTTTTAGAGCTACTTTCTTTTGTATAATAATGTGCAATTTTGAGTTAGGGTTTTCTGGGTTTTTTTTTAAGAATATTTTTCTCTTATTGGGAGTTGTATTTGATGGGTTAGAGCCTATTCCATAAAAACCATTTCATAAAGTAATGAGTTATGTTGTTTGGCGATGGCTATGTTCTTTGTTAATTGTTAGAATATGGGTTTTTAGTATGACATGTGGAATGGGATTTCATATTCAGACTCTGGATTTAATTGTTCATAGCTAGTAAGTTTTACTTATTGATAAGAATCAATGGTTTTATGTATGGAATATTATGTGCCATTACAAAACAAACACGCACACACACAAAAAGAAAAAAAAAGCAAAAAGCATAAATGAATATAAATAGAAACAAAAAGGTGATATTTAAAGTGGAGTTTGGTTATTGAAGACCTGAGAGGTGGAAATAAAACAAAATGATATTAACATGGTGGGGAAACTCTGGAAAATGAAGGGAGGAAAAGAGATAAAAACTGAGATGTTTAGTATCACGTTGTTTTAGGTTGTTCTTTATGTTGTTTATTATGAGTGTTGCTTGTTTCCATTATATCTCAATTTATGTGGAATATATAATACAGACTACGTGCAGGAAAAGAAACTCAAGTTCAAGCATATCTCCACGGCAAGAAATTGGTGTTTCAAAGTTTAATGAAGCTAAGTTGTTGTATGAGGGACAGATTATCCACAGCCCAACTAATGCTGCACTTCTTCTTGAAAACATCAAGCAAGAGGCTGAGAGCTTTGATACTGATTATTTTGAAGAAACGCTTGCAAGGACACAGTTGGCTTCTAAGAGGAGACCATCCAATGATGGTCATCAAATTGCTGAGGTTGATAGTGGTGTTGATTCAATCCGCAGATTAGGAAGTCATGCACTAAAAGCTTGCAAGATTGAGGAGGATTTATTGGCAGATAATGGAGACACAACCTTCACCTTGTTTGCATCTCTACTTGATTCTGCTCTTCAAGGTGCTTGAAGTACTGTCACTTATAATAAGTGCAGCAACTCAAAGTTGAAACCATTTAACTAGCTTTTCTTGTTTCTACTGAACATAATACGACTATGATGATAGTTTTTGATAAATATCTCCTAGGATTTGTTTGGGATTCTTGATTCCTTTCAGCTGCAAATTTCTAGGAGTTATGAAACTGATATTTGCATAAAATTATGTTTCAATGTGTTAGGAAATGTAACACTGGTTGAAGGTCATTACATTATGCATGCGTGAAAATAAAGTTTTACTTGGATTTCTTGTGCATCAAGTCCATCAAATGTTGCAGTCTAAGAAATATGAGGACAGTAAGTAGAGAAATATGCAAACTCATAATAACAGAATTAAATTACTGGGTTCATGATGTGTGTATTGCCAAGTATATCAAATCATTGACTGATCAATATGTCTATGTTCCTACATTGGAGCACTATATTGTATTCCTCTTGTTATGGCATCTGTATTCAAGCTAAATATATTTGTATTTTCTTGTTTTGCAGGATTAATGCCGATTCCGGATCTGATTTTACAATTTGAGAGATCATGCAGGAATGTTTCAGAGTTGATTAGGTATGTCTCATAGCATCAAGTATATTTATAAGTTGGTGTAGGTGTGTCTTGTGATTTAGGCAGACTCTTGTGCATGAAACACCATGGATATGCTTATAATTACAAATTTATTACTGTTTGATTTTCTTTTCGATTGGGCTTGTGTCTTGATATTGAGCATTTTAGCATGCCATATCCCCTGTTCCTCTTTTTTCTGTCCCCCTTTCCTGGAAAGAAAGAAGATCCAATGGTACTTTATTTTGCTTTTGTTTATGCATTGTTATCTATAGATAGATAATTACTTAAGTCTGT